TTAAATATAGTCAAGTATTTCAGATGAAAATTTACCATTTGAATTTTTTTTTTTTTTTTTTTGAGATAGGGTCTCACTCTGTCACCCAAGCTGGAGTGCAGTGGCACAGTCAGCCCACTACAGCCTTGAACTCCTGGGCTTGGGCAGTCTTGCCTCAGCCTTCTGAGTACCCAGTTGCTGGGACTACAGGTCTGTCTGTGCCACTATGCCTGGCTAATTTTATTGTAGAGATGGGAATCTCACTATGTTGCCCAGGCTGGTCTCAAAATTCCAGGGCTCAAGCAGTACTTGCACGTCCCCTTCCCAAAGTGCTGAGATTACAGGCATATGCTACCATGCCCAGCCTACCGTCTCTATTTTTTTTTTTTTTTTGAGATGGAGTCTTGCTCTGTTGCCCAGGCTGGAGTGCAGTGGCATGATCTCAGCTCACTGCAACCTTTGCATCCCGGGTTCAAGCAATTTTCCCCCCTCAGCCTCCTTGGTAGCTGGGACTACAGGCCTACGCCACCATGCCCAGCTAATTTTTGTATTTTTAGTAGAGATGGGGTTTCACTATGTTGGCCAGGCTGGTCTCGAACTCCTGACTTCGTGATCCGCCCCCTCGGCCTCCTAAAGTGCTGGGATTACAGGCATGAGCCACCGTGCCTGGCCCCATCTCTACATGTGATGTAAATATGAAATACAGTATTTTGAATATTTGGGTGGAAAAAAGAATGTAAAATATATTAATTTTTATATTGATTACATGTGAATAATATTTTGGCTATGTTGGGTTTAAAAATATTAAAATTTTACCTCTTAAAAAACTTTGACAATGTGGCTACTAGTAAATTTAAAAATTGCATATATGGCTTGTATTACTTTTCTACTGGACAGTGCTGCTTTACAAACACTTACCCTTATCAAGGACATTGTTTTTTAAATAATTTTTTATCATTACAGCATATTCACATTTGTGGCATAAAAAATGGAAAATACAGAAAAGCATAATAATGTAATTAAAATCACCCATAATTCCACTACTCAAGTTAAAGCATGAATATACTGTATATACCCTTCCAGGCTTTTTGGAGAGCATATAGATGCATGTGTTGTTTTTACAAAATTTTAATTATACTCTATATACTATAACTTTTTTGTTAAATTATCAGTATATTGTTAATATATTACAAATAGTTATCCTAAACATTGTTTGAGGACTTTGTAATTTTTTGTCTATGATTGTACCATAATTTATTTAACCCTCAGCTGTTTGATATTTAGATTGTGTTTCTAATTTTATAGTATCAAAATGTTGCAATAACCATTGTAGGTATACTTTTGGACATAGTCATAGGTATTTTCCGGGAAGTTTGTTGCTGGGACACTATATTGCCAGATTGCTCTCTAGATATATTTATGGGCCTCTACAGTGGATTTCAGAAACAAAGGGCCAGCTCTAGAGTTTTAGAATTTAGAAACCAATAATTCTTTTTAAAAATATAAGGTCCAAGCATTTTGCTCCTGGGAGAGCAGCTCTAGATCTTCTCCAAGAGTCTTTTTTCACTCTTTAAGAATCTGTGGTCGGGCGCACTGGCCCACACCTATAATCCCAGCACTTTGGGAGACCGAGGCAGGCAGATCACCTGAAGTCGGGAGTTTGAGACCAGCCTGACCAACGTGGAGAAAACCTTCTCTACTCAAACTACAAAATTACCCAGCTGTGGTGGTGCATGCCTGTAATCCCAGCCATTTGGGAGGCTGAGGCAGGAGAATCGCTTGAACCTGGGAGGCAGAGGTTGCAGGGTGAGCTGAGATTGTGCCGTTGTACTCCAGCCTGGGCAACAAGAGCAAAATGCCATCTCAAAATAAATAAATTACATAAATAAATAAATAAATAAATGATTGTATTATCGGCCAGGCACGGTGGCTCACGCCTGTAATTCCAGCACTATGGGAGGCCAAGACAGGTGGATCACTTGAGGTCAGGAGTTCAAGACCAGCCTGGGCAACATGGCAAAACCCCATCTCTACTAAAAATACAGAATGTTATCAGGCGTGGTGGTGCCCGCCTGTGGTGCCAGCTACTTAAGAGGCTGAGGTGGGTATCACCTGAGCCCAGTATGTCGAGGTGCAGTGAGCCATGATCACGCCACTGTACTCCATCCGGGTGAGACTGAGACCCTGTCTCAAAAATAAATAAATAAAGTGAAATAATTTGTGGACAACACAGAATTACAAACTTTTTATTTTGTCTTTTTAAAGTTACCACAAATTGTCACCACCATTCCCTAAAAGGACATTAACACCTGAATATATTTAGTTTCATGAAAATTTCACTGTTAACACTGCTTTTCTCATTTTACCATAGGCTATTGAAAATTTTCACACAGACCAGCATAGGTTGGGGTAGAAGCTTGAGAATCACTGCTGTAATTTATTCTTTCACATCCAAACAGGTTAATCCAAAGAAATTGTTCTTGTATTTTTGGAAACATACTAGTACTAAATAATTCTCCTTGTTGGGAAATTTTCTGAGTTCTCTTTCATGCTGGTCTATGTGAATACCATAAGGAGAAACCATATGTTATTTTCTGAGCTAGTATAAGAGTGTACATTGGGTCCCAATACTAGAGCAGCCAGATAGCAATAAAAGCACAGGCTCTGGGACCAGGGAATCTGGATCCATGCTCTACTTTTGATTGCATAGCTATGTTTTTAACCTAAGTCTTATTTTTCTCATCTATAAAATGGAAATAGTAATAGTCCGTATCTCATAAATACTGGGAGAATTAAATGTGATGCATGTAAGATGCTGATCATAGTTACTGACCCTTAGAAAGTGTTCAATGGCTGGGCAAGGTGGCTCATGCCTGTAATCCCAGCTCTTTGGGAGCCGAGGCAGGAGGATCACTTTAGCCCACGAGTTTGAAAACAGCCTGAGCAACATAGAGAGAACTCATCTCTACAAAAAAAAAAAATCTTAAAAATAACTGAGTGTGATGGTGCACACACCCTGTAGTCCTTGCTACTTAGGAGGCTGAAGTGGGAGGGTTGTTTGAACCCAGGAGGTCAAGGCTACAGTGAGCCAGGATCACACCACTGAACTCCAGCCTGGGTGACAGAGCAAGACCCTTAAAAAATAAAGAAAAGGAAAAAAATAGTTTTCAGTAAATGTTAGCTGTGATTATAGCATGATCATCAGTATATTTAGCCCTTCAAAAATATTCATTGACTGCTTATGTGTCGAACACTGGGAAAGTTTAACACTTAAACAACTAGCTGTAATTGGTATATTAATATTGGAAGTATTAATAAAGTACACTGGGAACAGGTCTACACATTATACAGGAGGTTTTTTACATTGCTGGAATACAATGGCACGATCTCGGCTCACTGCAACTTCTGCCTCCTGGGTTCAAGCGATTCTCCTGCCTCAGCTCCCGAGTAGTTGGGATTACAGGCATATGCCACCACACTTAGCTAATTTTGTATTTTTTAGTATAGAAGGGTTTCTCCATGTTGGCCAGGCTGGTCTCGAAGTAATCCACCCACCTCAGCCTCCCAAAGTTCTGGGATTACAGGCATGAGCCACCATGCCCTGCCAGGAGATTGTCTTTTATTTAAGGGGTCTTGAAGTTTGGAGAAGGGGAGGATATTGCAACAAGGAAAACAACGGAAGCAAAGAAATGCCCATAAATTAAACTGAGCATGGTGTGTTTGTGGCCTGGATCACTGTAGACTAATGCAGATAGAGCTTTAAGAGCAAGGACAGATGGGAGATGACACAACATTTATGACTGCATAATCAGTATAATTATTGTTTTGGATATCACCAGCCCTTAACTTACGGAAGAAGTCAAGAAGACAAGGGCTGCAATTTAGGATTTAGGTAGAAGTCTGGAAAGATATGGGAGATGTAATGTTGACTTCTAGTCCTCTTTTCTCTTTTTTCTTTTTCTTTTCTTTTTTTTTTTCCGCGAGGGTATTGCCAGGGTCTTCCTCTTGCCCCGGCTGGAGTACAGTGGCACAATCATGGCTTACTGCTGCTGCCTCTAATTTCTGGACTCAAGCGATCTTCCCACTTCAGCCTCCCAAATAGCTGGTACTACAGGCATGCACCACTACACTCAGCTAATTTTTTTTTTTTTTGATTGAGACAGGGTCTCGCCGTGTTGTCCAGGCTCTTCTGGAACTCCTAGGCTCAAGTGATCCTCCCGCCTCAGTCTGCCAAGGTGTTGGGATTGCAGGTGTAAGCCACCATGCCCAGCCAATTCTAGCATTTTTAAAAATACTGCTCAGAGGTGATTTCTGATGTCCTTGAGAATTCTTTGAATTATCTGAATATTAATTCCTAGTATTGATATTTAGAACAAGGTCCTTCTGACTTTTTTTACGATACCTTTCAGGCGGGGTGCAATGGCTTACGCCTGTAATCCCAGCACTTTGAGAGGCCAAGGCAGGCGGATCACCTGAGGTTGGGAGTTTGAGACCAGCCTGATCAATATGGAGAAACTCTGTCTCTACTAAAAATACAAAATTAGCCGGGTGTGGTAGTGCATGCCTGCAATCCCAGCTACTCGGGAGGCTGAGGCAGGAGAATTGCTTGAACCTGGGAGGCGGAAGTTGCGGTGAGCTGAGATTGCGCCATTGCACTCCAGCCTGGGCAACGAGAGCAAAACTCCATCTCAAAAATAAATAAATAAATAAAAGATACCTTTCATTGCCATGTTATCCAAAAGAATGCCAATATTCTCACTGGTTTTGGGGGACTGATTTTGGAAGATGACTCATGGAATTAAGAGGATCTGATGGTTCAAAGAATCTTGCCCTATCAAAGTTGTTCACAGCCTAAAAAATTTGATAAATGAAGGTATGTTCAAAGCCTTCTCATTCTCCAAAGATAAGAATATGCACCTTTTAGAAGGCATTAGATCCCAAAGACCAAGATAGGATGTTTTACCTAGAAGACAAATTGTACATTGGGCTTTAAGGACTCATGAAACCATTGCCTGTTTCAGACGCTGACCGGAAAGGAGATTGAGATTGACATTGAACCTACAGACAAGGTGATGCATGCCCAGCTCCTCTTCATGCACTTCTTGCCATGTATATTTGTTTGCATATGCTTATGAACTTGGTCCTTTTGCTCTTATGCTGTCTGCATAGCCCTTGTTCTTTCCATTTCCATGGTCCTACCCCTGAGCAGCCCCTGACTACTTGTCTCTTTAAAGGTGGAGCGGATCAAGGAGCGTGTGGAGGAGAAAGAGGGAATCCCCCCACAACAGCAGAGGCTCATCTACAGTGGCAAACAGATGTGAGTTTGGAGTGAGAATGACAGCGTGGCAATCCTACGTGAAGATGAGATGAGAGGGGGCACGTACTGAGGTGGATCGGGGGTGCCTCTTGTTTTTGGTGCCTTAGACCCTTTGGCAATCTGGTGAAGCCTCTAAGCCCCTTCTCAAAATAAGATTTTTTCAGGCATAAAACAAAATAGATAGAATTAAAAGAAAACTAATTATATTGAAATAGTTATTAAAATACTAAAACAAATTTGTGATATAGTAATATACGTACTTTTTTATTAATAAGATCTAATGGTAGGTCTAATATGACTATAATTTTGAAATATTTTCAAGATACCTATAAATGATCATGATAGAAAATAGTTAATTTCTATTGTTAACAATTTGCCTATATTGCTAATACTACTGTGGTTTTTGGGCTTTGTTTAAAGTTAGAAGAAATGTTAAATTTCAGTTGGGGGTTAGTAAAAATAAAGATGGGATTTTTTTTCTCATTCAAGTTCGCAGACCCCCAAAGAGATCCATGAAACTCAAGAACTTCTGTTCTGGCTGGACGTAGTGGTTCACGCCTGTAATCCCAGCACTTGGGGAGGCTGAGGTGGGTGGATCACCTGAGGTCAGGAGTTCGAGACCAGCCTGGCCAATATGGTGAAACCCCATCTTTACTAAAAATACAAAAATTAGCTGGGTGTGGTAGTGGGCGCCTGTAATCCCAGCTACTCGGGAGGCTGAGGCAGGAGAATTGCTTGAACCCAGGAGGCGGAGGTTGCAGTGAGCTGAGATAGTGCCACTGCACTTCAGCCTAGATGACAGAGCGAGACTCTGTCAAAAAAAAAAAAAAAACAAACTCGGCCGGGCGCGGTGACTCACGCCTGTAATCCCAGCACTTTGGAAGGCCGAGGCGGGCGGATCACAAGGTCAGGAGATCGAGACCATGGTGAAACCCCGTCTCTACTAAAAATAGAAAAAATTAGCCGGGCGCAGTGGCGGGCGCCTGAAGTCCCAGCTACTCGGGAGGCTGAGGCTGGAGAATGGCGTGAACCCGGGAGGCGGAGCTTGTAGTGAGCCGAGATTGCGCCACTGCACTCCAGCCTGGGCGACAGAGTGAGACTCCGTCTCAAAAAAAAAAAAAAAACAAAAAAAAAACTCCTAAGTCTTTTTTTTTCGGCTTCCTTTTCCTGCAGGAATGATGAGAAGACAGCAGCTGATTACAAGATTTTAGGTGGTTCAGTTCTTCACCTGGTGTTGGCTCTGAGAGGAGGAGGTGGTCTTAGGCAGTGATGGACCCTCCATTTTACCTCTGTACCGTGTCGCTCATAATGAGGCATCATATATCCTCTCACTTTCTGGGACACCAGAGCCACTGCCCCCTCCCCTGGATGCCCAGTATTGTACATCTACTGGTGGGAGACTGTGAGGACCCCAGGATTCAGTATTCCTGGCCCAGAGGGCCCTTGCTGGCTGTTGGGTGTTAGTTTGCAGTCCTGTGTGCTTCCTTCTCTTATGGCTGTGTCCCTGGTTGTCAATAAAATATTTCCTGGCCTCCTGGAATCTTTCTTATGTTGCACAAGTTGACTGAAATAAAAAATGGACGTAATGCTCACTCAGTTATAGCAGGCTGAAGGAATCGGACAATGGAAGGGATGATGCTCTTAGAAGGATTATCAGACTCTAGGAAAACATACTTACTGGTGTGCTGGAGCCAGTTCCTAATGGCTAATGAGAGCCAACTATTGGCACCTCTTTCCAACTTTCTTAAGTGACTTCATGTTGGTAGCTTGAAATTGGCCATGGTAGGATTATTTACAAAAACTGGCAAACACTACAGATCAGTTCCTCCCCACAAACTGGTTGTTAAACATCTACCAGTGTAGTGCTGACATGGATGGTGGAAACCTTCAGAGAGTGAATTCTCTCTGAATGTGGCTCTACTGGACATTTAGGTCTGGTTGGAGAATGCCGTCAAGGGTTTGGCCGGCACTGCACTCTGGCTGGAATATTACTGAGGGCTTTGGGTTCTGCACTATCAAGAGGTTGATAATGGAGAAAGATTGAGTGACAAACTGTAATGTATCACTTGGGTCTCAAGAAGAGGCAGGTGCTAGAAAACGCTTTCCTTCTTCCCTGGCTTCTTAGTATAATAGAATCGGGCAAGGCTGGGTGGAGTGGAGTAGTAGGGAGGATGCCCGTGGCCAATGCCTTGGAGAGACTTGACTGCTGTGGTTGCGTGTGGCGGTCGTGTTGGTACCTCGCTGCAATCCTCTTCCCCGCCCAGCATCAGATGGCCCTCTTGCGCCATATCTAGGCTGATGACGCCCCGAGTGGCGACGCTCTAGTAGCCGTTTGTCTATGGCAGGCGGGGTGGCCGCCTTAGCTGCCGGAGGTGCCGCACTCTCTACCGGCCCTGGGTGAAGCACCAACTCTGCTGCGCGCAGCCTGCGGTGCGGGTCATGGCGCGGCTACCGAAGCTGGCAGTCTTTGATTTGGGTGAGGGACGGGAAGGAGAATTTCGTAAGGCGCCCTCATACCCCTAACTGCTGCTCCCGAATCCCTGCGTCCCCCACCACCAGGCTGAACCTTCCCTCTCCTTCCTCTCTCAGATTACACTCTCTGGCCTTTCTGGGTCGACACGCACGTGGACCCTCCGTTCCATAAGAGCAGGTGAGGTAGGGACAGGGAGGACTGGGGCGAGATGGGACCCAGCCAGGGCTGAGCGCACTCTTGCCCTCCCCAGTGATGGAACTGTACGAGATAGGCGGGGCCAAGACGTCCGACTGTACCCAGAGGTGCCTGAGGTCCTAAAACGATTGCAGAGTCTTGGGGTGCCCGGTGCGGCTGCTTCAAGGTAAGAGCGACTGACAACTGATAGTGTAATGCTGAAGGGTGCATACAAGAGACTTAACAGTGAAACCCCTGGGCTACAAAAATAGGGGCGGTGCAAGTTTGCAAGTATTTGCATATTTTTTCTCCTTGGTCTTTTAACTATTAAAAAGTGGGGCCGGCAGCCGGACACGGTGGCTCACTCCTGTAATCCCAGCACTTTGGGAGGCCAAGGCGGGCGGATCACGAGATCAAGAGTTCGAGACCAGCCTGACCAACGTGGTGAAACCCCGTCTCTACTAAAAATACAAAAATTAGCGGGCGCCTGTAATCCCAGCTACTCGGGAGGCTGAGGCAGGAGAATCGCTTGAACCCAGGAGGTGGAGGTTGCAGTGAGCTGAGATGGAGCCACTGCACTCTAGCCTGGGTGACAGAGTGAGACAGTGTCTCAAAAAAAAAAAAAAAACAAGTGAGGCCGGGCAAAGTGACTCACACCTGTAATCTTAGCACTTTGGGAGTCCTAGGCGGGAGGATCACTTGAGCCCAGCAATTTGAGACCAGCCTAGGCAATAGAGGGAGACCCCATCTCTACCAAAAAAAAAAAAAAATGTGGCGTGCACCTGTAGTCCCAGCTACTTGGAAGGCTGAGGTGGGAGGATCACTTGAGCCCAGGACGTTGTGACCGCAGTGAGCCATGATTGGGCCACTGCACTCTAGTCTGGGTGACAGAACTAGACCCCGTCTCAAAACAAAAACTAAAACTTTGGCCCAGCACCAATTTCGTCAAACAGGAAGGCAATGGAGTTAAACAGAGGCTGATGATGCCTGTCCATCCCAGAAAAACAGCAAGTTGATTTCCCTGGCTATACTTACTAACTTTGCTTAATAAGTTAACGTAGCCCTGGCCCTTCACTTTGGTAATCCCATCTTTTACACCGTTTTGCAGGACAAGTGAGATAGAAGGGGCCAACCAGCTACTGGAGCTCTTTGACCTCATCAGGTACTTTGTTCATCGGGAAATCTATCCAGGCAGCAAAGTCACACACTTTGAGAGGTATGCGGACATAAGGGAGGAGCAGGGTGAGAAAGTACCAGAGAGGCTTGGGAAACCAAGATACTAGCTTGGTTACCCATGCCCTATCTTCCACAGGTTGCAGCAGAAGACTGGAATTCCTTTCTCCCAGATGATCTTCTTCGATGATGAGAGGCGGAATATTGTAGACGTCAGCAAACTGGGTACTGAGTGATGAGCAACAGCCATTTGGGGTCCCTAGGAGGGATTAGGTAGATACACACAGGATGGATAGTTTGCCCTATAGGTGGCACCCACAAAGGTCAGCGTGATAATGGAGAACCCTGAAAGCCTGATGAAATGTGACTTCTTATCTTTCTAGGTGTTACCTGCATTCATATCCAGAATGGAATGAATCTTCAAACTCTAAGTCAAGGGTTAGAGACATTTGCAAAGGCCCAAACTGGGCCTTGAGGTCCAGCCTTGAGGAAAGCCCATTTGAGGCCTAAACTGAAAGGAAATCAAGAAGACATTTTCAGGTGCATTTGTAATTTATTAAAGTTCATCTGTGTGTGACAGTAGAGATTTTTACTCACAGTGTGGGGAGCTTCTATTTTTCTAGCCTGTGAAATGGGGTTGGTTGTCCTGAGGTGCAAAGACCAGAATGTGAGACATTAGACTGCATCAGGTTTGCTATCTAAACTTAGGGCAACCCCAAGTGCTTGAACCTATACCACCCCACTTTCCTGAGCCCTGTAAAGAGCATGAAGAGTTTTCCCACTGACCCCATACATTGAGGTGCCATCACACTGCACATTTCCTTCCGGAGAACAAGCACATACTCTGGGGTGGAGACAGGACTGCCTTTTTATGTAATAGAAAATGATGTGGCTACTTTAAGAGGAGCACCTCGGTCTGGGACTGGTGGTTTGGGTCACGTGACAGCGGTGGTCTCGTTTGCGCCTCTTGATGATGTCGCGGCGGCGCCCTGAGGAGGGATTGGGCAAGGCTGGTCCCTGTGTGATGAGAACATCACCCTCCCAGGAGCAAGGCGGAAGTCTGGAGGACGCCGAGGGGCGGAGGCGGGATAGGCGAGCTCGCGATGAGTGGTCTCGGCAGGCTCTTCGGGAAGGGTGAGCCGGGGTGGGACTGGCCAGCCAGGAGGCGCTGGCTGGTGCAGGGGAAGAGGAGATCCCGGCGAGATTCGGCCAGACCGCTGCGCCGGGCAGGGGAAGAGAATCAGGAGACAGGCTGACTGGAAAACCCCGGCGGCCGATGGCGGAGCAAGGCTCATCGCCGGTGCCAGAAGGCACACCATGTCAAGGCGCCTGGTTCCCGTCCGCCGTCCTCTCTCACTCTCTGAGGGAAGAACTCAAGATCGGGGAGGGGACTTGAGTTGAGGGCGTGGCGATCGTGCTGGCTCCCACTGTTCAGGCTTGAAGACGAGTTTCCTGCTGTCTTCAGCCCTTTTCAAAACCTTGTTCTATAATACTTTGTGCTGGGCAAGAGGGATCTAAGATGAAGAAGAAAGACTGCCTTCTTGGCCGGGCGCGTTGGCTCACGCCTGTAATCGCAACACTTTGGGAGGCCGACGTGGGTGGATCATGAGGTCAGGAGTTTAAGACCAGCCTGGCCAATATGGTGAAACCCCGTCTCTGCTACAAATACAAAAATTGGCCGGGCGCGGTGGCTCACGCCTGTAATCCCAGCACTTTGGGAGGCCGAGGCGGGTGGATCACCTGAGGTCAAGAGTTCGAGACCAGCCTGGCCAACATGGTGAAACCTCGTCTCTACTAAAAATACAAAAAAATAAAAAAAAAAAAATTAGCTGGGTGTGGTGACGCGCACCTGTAGTCCCAGCTACTCAGGGAGTCTGAGGAAGGAGAATCGCTTGAACCCAGGAGGCAGAGGTTGCAGTGAGCCAAGATTGCGCCACTGCACTCCATCCTGGGTGACAGAAGGAGATTCCATCTCAAAAGAAAAAAAAAAAATACAAAAATTAGGTGTGCATGGTGATGTGTGCCCGTAGTCCCAGCTACTCAGGGAGGCTGACGCAGGAGAATCACTTCAACGCAGGAGGCGGAGGTTGCAATGAGCCTAGATCATGCCACTGCACTCTGACCTGGGCAACAGAGCGAGACTCCGTCTCAAAAAAAAAGAAGGCCTGGCACGGTGGCTCACGCCTGTAATCCCAGCACTTTGGGAGGCCAAGGCAGGTAGATCACCTGAGGTTGGGAGTTTGACACCAGCCTGGCTAACATGGAGAAACCCTGTCTCTACTAAAAATACAAAAAATTAGCCAGGCGTGGTGGCACATGCCTGTAATCCCAGCTATTTGGGAGGCTGAGGCAGGAGAATCGCTTGAACCCAGGAGGCGGAGGTTGAGGTGAGCTGAGATCACGCCATTGCATTCCAGCCTGGGCAACAAGACCGAAACTTTGCCTAAAGAAAAAAAAAGGCAGCCAGGGATAGTAAAACGAATATTGGTTTTAGAACTCATACTGCCACATTTTGATTCCTGAACAATCTCTTATTAATTGTGATTTTTAACATCTTTGTGGTTGTTTTCACATTTTTAAGTGAAGAGAGAGCACATTCATTGTAGAGATTTGGGGATTAACAATAACACAGTCAGGTCCCTAGCACATACTATGTATTCAATGATTGGTGGCTAATATTTTTCCTTCACAAAATTTGGGCCTACTCCACTGGACTCCTCAGGTAAGAAGGAGAAAGGGCCAACCCCTGAAGAAGCAATACAGAAACTGAAGGAGACAGAGAAGATACTGATCAAGAAACAGGAATTTTTGGAGCAGAAGATTCAACAGGAGCTACAAACAGCCAAGAAGTATGGGACCAAGAATAAGAGAGGTAATGAGGGAAACAAGCCTATGGGGAGGGCCCAGATGGGAAGCAGGTGCTTCTGACCCTTGATGTTAAGGGTATCGGCTGGGTCAGCTGCCCTACAGGCTTTGCGGAGGAAGAAAAGATTCGAACAGCAGCTGGCACAAACTGACGGGACTTTATCCACCCTGGAGTTTCAGCGTGAGGCCATTGAGAATGCCACCACCAATGCAGAAGTCCTTCGTACCATGGAGCTTGCTGCCCAAGGCATGAAGAAAGCCTACCAGGACATGTGGGTACGGGGAAGGGGTGGAGGGGACCCAAGAACTGGGAAGAGTGGCTTGCTATCACACTTTAAACTTTTTTTTGTTTTTCCCCCCGAGACAGAGTCTTGCTCTGTGGCCCAGACTGGAGTGCAGTGGCGCAATCTCGGCTCACTGCAAGCTCTGCCTCCCAGGTTCACACCCTTCTCCTGCCTCCGCCTCCCAAGTAGCTGGGACTACAGGCGCTTACCACCTCGCCTGGCTAATTTTTTTTTTTTTGTATTTTTAGTAGAGACGGGGTTTCACTGTGTTAGCCAGGATGGTCTCGATCTCCTGACTTCGTGATCTGCCCACCTCGGCCTCCCAAAGTGCTGGGAGGCGTGAGCCACCGCGCCCGGCCTCACACTTTAAACTTTAAAGCCTCTCAGAATGTGGATTTGCAGTATAGATACTTGTAATGGCTAGACCTCTGTCTGCCCCTTGCTTCCTATAAGATTCTTTCGCTGCCTGGGGCATTCTAGGGAGCAAAGATGCCTTCTCTAATTCTTTTTTTGTTTTGTTTTTTGAGACAGTCTTGCTCTGTCACCCAGGCTGGAGTGCAGTGGCACGATCTCGGCTCACTGCAACCTCTGCCTCCTGGATTCAAGTGATTCTCCTGCCTCAGCCTCCTGAGTAGCTGGGATTACAGTTGTGTGCTACTGTTCCCAGCTCATTTTTGTATTTTTAGTGGAGACGGAGTTTCACTATTTTGGCCAGGCTGGTCTTGAACTCCTGACCTCAGGTGATCCACCTGCCTTGGCCTCCCAAAGTGCTGGGATCACAACTGTGAGCCACTGCTCCCGGCTACCTTTTCTAATTCTTAAAGATCCTTCAGGAAAGGGAATGAAACCTATCCTCTCAAGTGTGGCTCCTTGCTATTTCTTAGCCCAGACTTGCGTCTTTGCAGTTTTCCAGGGATCTCTTCTGATTGATAGCTATGGGCTTATCAGTGTGACAATACAAGGCAGGAGGGGTTTCATTCATGTGAGATGAGGAAGTCAAGGGGGCATTGTTGCCTGATTTCTTAGCTGTCTGTCTCATTCTCAGGGACATTGACAAGGTAGATGAACTGATGACTGACATCACAGAACAACAGGAGGTGGCCCAGCAGATCTCAGATGCCATTTCTCGGCCTATGGGCTTTGGAGATGATGTGGATGAGGTGATTGGGGGTGAGGGGTCAGGGCATTTTGGAGGAAGTATGGAACTGGCCAGAAGGAACACCCAAGAGAGGCTCTTGGGGCAAGTTTGGGAGGGAACTTCAAAAGCAATATGTTTTTGGAGGTAGATGTTTTTTTCTTCATCTTAAATGGTCTTGTCTTCCCTATACAGGATGAACTGCTGGAGGAGCTAGAGTTGCTGGAACAGGAGGAATTGGCCCAGGAGTTGTTAAGTGTGGGCGACAAGGAGGAAGAACCCCCAGTCAAATTGCCTAGTGTACCTTCTACTCATCTGCCGGCAGAGCCAGGTATGCAGGGTTGTTCTGTTGTCTTGAGGACTTAAGAGGGTAGGAGAGGTATGGGGAAAGATTATTCCTCATCCATCCTGCCTCAAAGGAGCCACACAGAAAGGGCTGCTGCTGCAGTTGTGCAGGTTGTTGACTGCATATGGGCACCCACCTAGCCTGTGCTTCACTCAGCAAGCTGTGTACCCTGGTTTAGGGCTACAAATGGCAGGAGCAAGAGGCACCTTTTTTCTAATTTGCACAAAGGTGCTATGGGATTGAACAGCAGCCTAGCAAGCAGAAGGACCACATCTTTAGTTTTTTTGTGGGGAGAGAGAATTCAGCAGGCTCTGAATGTCATAGTAGGGGATGGTTGGAGTTGCTGAGACCTTAATCCTTCTCCTTTCTTTTCTCTGGGTATCTTTGTCCTCAAAGCTCCCAAAGCGGATGAAGATGAAGAAGCACTAAAGCAGTTGGCTGAGTGGGTATCCTGATAAATCTGGGCTTCTCTTCCTAATGCTACCTTTGTTGGTCCTTTTTTCCTTAAGTGCCAAATGCTGAGCTAAAGGAGAATAACTTTTTGGGGAAGTCCTGCTGAGGGTGGTAGTATGACCCTGCCTGAAAAAAGGGTCTCTTGCCCTCCCAGCCCTGGCTCAACTCTGAAGAAGATCTTGCTACAGAAGGAGCCCGTGGGCTCCCTTCTCTTTGATAGCAGTTATAATGCCCTTGTTCCCAATAAAACTGGGCAGATGGAATCCTAGTGTCTATACTGCCTTGTCTACCCCTGAAGCTGTTCCCCTGGCCCTTGGAGCCTTGTCCTCAAGAGCCTTATTTCAAGCAATGAATAATTACAGCAAAGAAGGGAGGTTGGAACATAGAACAAATGGGCATTCCTAATATCTCAACCTATGTTCCAGACAAACACTGTTTCATCTTTCAAGTCGGTTTGTCCTAGAGTTGCCTAGTTGCTGCGATTGAAGAAACTGCCATCTACCACTTAGAACCATGTGTAGGCATCTCTGAGTCTTCCCTCATTGCTTTCCCCTGGTCGTGCCTCTGCCAAGACAACCCCAAATTTATTTTACAAAGCCCATTTTCAAGGACAAGGAGGGAGAATACCATGGAAGGAGCAAGTAGCTTTCCTTTGTCCAGAACCCATAGTAGCTTTCACTACTAGAAGGCTTGGTTTGAATTCTATGTCTGGGAACAACAGTGTGAGAAGCCTTGTCTCCCTGCTATTCTGTCAGTAGTGGTTAAGGTGACACTGGAAGAGGGAAAAGGAACCGAGGTCCTTCATACACCCAAATACCCATTTCTTTTCTTTTCTTTTCTTTTTTTTTTTTTTTTTTTTTTGAGACAGAGTCTCACTTTGTCACCCAGGCTGGAGTGCAATAGGGCGATCTTGGCTCACTGCAATCCCCGCCTCCCGGGTTCAAGTGATTCTCACACCTCAGCCAGGTGCCACTATTCCCGGCTAATTTTTGTATTTTTAGTAGAGACAGGGTTTTGCCAAGTTGGCCAGACTGGTCTCGAACTCTTGACCTCAAGTGATCTGCCCACCTTGGTCCCCTAAAGTGCTGGGATTACAGGCGTGAGTCACTGCACCCAGCTCGAATACCCATTTCTAAAAGAACTAACAGTGCCATCATCTTGGACTATAGACAGGCAGAGCCATAATCAAAGTGGAGCAACCAGGGATTTTGCCCCACCGCTTGAGCATTTAAACAACACAAAGATGTAAAATAATGAGCATATATTGAGTTGAATAATAAAGCTTCCCAAAATAGAGTGTTAATCTGAGCACCCCGTCTCCTGTGAGCCACATCATGAATTACACTGTTGATTTAACAGTGTCAAGATGATTGGTCACAGGCTGTGGGCAGAAATCGTCTCTTACCCCAGCAGTGTTCCCTGCTATAAGATTGCCTTGAGAAAAGAATGTCTTTGACCCTAGCTGATAAAACTAAATCAGACTTAGATTTATTTTTGGTATAAAAGATTTTTGGCCCAAGAGACCTCCTGCTGGCTCCTCTCTTAGCCCCCTCCTTCAGCCATTTTCAGGTCGTAATTTCCAAGGATTGGTGATGTTTAGTGGTGTTGTGGAGCTGGCACATGGTCTCTAGCAGCCTGATCTCATGGGTGGGTTGTTCATGCTGGAATTTGAGCACCCAGGGATCCTTGATGATGTCCAGAATGGTGGCACGCTTAGTGGCTTGGTGTAGCATCTGGTGGATCAGGTTCTAGAGCAGGGGAGAGAGAGGTCTTGCCTGAGTTTTTCTCCATTGTGCCACGCAGGCAATGAGCAGCTGGACCTAAGAAAGAAGCAGGATAGCCCATCATGCCACTCTGGCCAAAGTGGGTGTGGCTCTGATTTTATCTTGGAGAGCCAGGCAGTTAACTCCCTGGAGGGGAAGGGAAAAGTTCCTTGGGAGGAATGCTTTCCATAATTCTCTTCTGGCCTAAAGAGACAGAAGCTAGAACCTGTGTATCAAGCAAGGTTTGGAGCCTAGTGGTTGGCCCTTTATGCCTTCCATACTGTTTATTATAGGACAGGAGCTAGTGTGTGAGATGGCTCTGGTGTGGGAAGAGCCTTTCCCCAGGGTTGGGAGGCCTAGGTTGGGTGACGTAGGTTGGATATTCACCCCTCCCTGTTGGTCATCCCTGAGGGCTCACCCCTCCTTAGGTAGCCAGTACCTTGCACTCCTGGGAGATGGTATGGTTAGCTGGGAAAGTGACCTCCTTCTGAGTCTCTCTCAGCAGCTTTTTCAGATTGGTGTCATCAAAGGGCAGACGGGCGACCATTAGCGTGTAAAGGATGACGCCCATGCTCCAGGTGTCAGACAGGAAAGGGTTGTAGGGCAAGCCTAGTAAGATCTCCGGGCAAGCATAAGCAAAGCTGCCACAGTAAGTCTGGCTGAGGTGGGAAAAGCAGTTCACTTGGCGGTAAGAAGAGCTACGACCCACAGGCTGGTTAGAAGGCACCATCTTGGCGAAGCCAAAGTCTGATATCTTCACATTCTCCCGCTTGTCCAGCAACAGATTCTCCAACTTTAAGTCCCTACCAGCAGCAGAAAGGCTGGGCATCAGGCTGGGGAGAGGGCTTAGTTTTAGACTGGGAGCTGAAGGGCCAGGGGTCAGAGGGTAAAGATGAGGAAAGAAGTGGGAGGTAGAAACCATTATGAGGGCACAAGGTAGAGAGGAAGGAAAGCCATGGAGTTGTGAGCAGAGCCCAAAGTAGGGAGAGAGAGAGAGAGAGGATGGTATCTGAGGACCACCGGGAGCTCACCATCATATTTCATAAAATGCTGTGCATACAGTGAGTACTTTATCAGTATCCTTGACCATATGATTAAAATAGAGTACATGAATAGTCCTAGATATTGAGGAGGGAGTTCGAGAGAGGAGAAAAGGGCAGCAAATGGGAGATGTGCATAAAACCCCCTTGAGGGCAAAGGACCCAGTCTGGGTGGCAGCGCCCTCACCGGTGCACGATGCTCTTGCTGTGCAGGTAGGCAATGCCCAGGGTCAGCTGGGAGAACCACTTGCCAGCAAGGGGCTCAGAGCAGGCCCCGTAGCGCTGGATCCATTCAAGGACGTCACCACCCTGAGCCAGCTCCAGAATGATGTATACTCGAGATGTGGTCTCAATGGCCTGATAGAAGTTGATGAGGTACTTGTGCCGCAAGACTTTCATTACCTGACCCCAGAAGAAGGACCCATCAAACCTGGGAAGGGAGAACTGTGATGGCACTCCCAGCCATCTCCTGCCCTCAGCTACTGACTTAGAACTTTGCAATAGGATCAACCCCTTAACCCCAGAGAACTGGTGGCCTGTGGTCAAATGCTATGTTTTGCACCTTTACTTTTTGGGGGGCTGGAGGTGAGTGGGTGGATGGGAAAGAGGTTTAACTTACATAAATTTTCCTAGCTGCTAGTAAGACATTCAGTTCTGGTTTAGGGATTTCTGGCCCCACCCCTCGTGGCCATACCCCTTCTGAGAAACCTCAGGCAGCTTAGTACCAAGCTCCAGTTCCCTCTTCCAGCCCCCTTTCCAACCTGTATCTCACGGGGCAGGAACTTGTTAAGATAGTCATCAGAGGCCTTCTTCTTTGATATGATCTTGACTGCCACCATGACCTTCTGCTTTGTGTAGAAAGCCTCATATACTGTCCCATAGGAGCCATTGCCAATGACCTTGCCCACCTCATAACCATATTCATCCATGATGGAGTGGTAGGCTGTGGTGGTTGGTGCTGCCTCTACGACATCTCCCTTCCCCATGGTGTTGGGCTTGCTGAGAGCAGGGAGCTTTACTATTGGAAGCTTCCTATCCAAAGGCCAACACCTTGAGCCGCCGAAGGCTAGGGTATCAAAGTGAAGTAGGTCTCCAGATGTTTGCCTATATAGTCACACAAGTCTGGGATGCTGGGCTCAGCCCTCCACTAGGAAGTTGGAGGGGGAAAGAAAGAGAAGCAGTTCTTTTTGTCTCCACTGGCTGTTGTTACTTTGTCCTTTTGGTTACGGAACTCCTCAAGGTCCCATGTTCTGAATACATCACAATCCACCTCCTATCCATCATTGGCCACAAAACTTGAGAATGAAGTGCAGTTGGAAACATACTCATTCCCAGAGGCACCTTCCACAGTCTGCTGAAACTCCTAAAGATCAGCCCTTTCATTGATATATGAGTACCTACTAAGTACCAGACAGTGTGCTGAATACTTGGATAAAATGTCACCCAAATGTCATGCCAGACCCTTCCTCCTTCCTCAATCCCTACATACAATCTTTCATCAAATTCTGTCTCTGCTATCTCCTACTTATCTCTTTAATGATACACTCAAGGCTTTCCAAGCCCATTGCAGCCCCCTTAGTTCAATAAGGCCAATAGAGACACTATGATCCTAGAGCTTATAATGCAGCATGAAAAAATGAGAAATACAAGTGTGAAAGTATTGCAACAGTAAGGTATTGAACATGTTCTAGGAAAATCTAACCTTGAAATACATTCTTATCTTTCATGAGTCAGAACTCTCTAGTTTTCCTCCACATCCTTCTGGTCAGTCCTCAGCGTTCACTGAAGCTGTATCTTTCTCCATCCATCCCTTAATCATATCCCAAGTGTTCTATCACAAGCTTTATTTTCTCAAACCTTCACATCCTCCCTTAATCTTGTCCATACCCATGGTGTCAATACTACATTTATGCTGACTGCTCCTAATTTCATCTCCATCCCATATATCTCTGGAGTTCAGATAGAGCAGCCAGTATTACATGGCCATGTCTGCCCCAGGCATGGAACTTACCATATCCGTCTCGAACTTAAACATATCAATAATTGAACTTATTTTCTTCTTTCAGACCTGTGAGTTGTACACTAATCACCCTTAATTGAGACACTCAAATGTCATCCCAGACTCTCCTGCCTCAGTCCCTACATTCAATCTATCACCAAATCCTATCTCTTCTACCTCCTGATTATCTCTTTGATAATATTCTCATGGCTTTCTGAGCCCACTGCCACTCCCTTAGTTCACGCCTCCATCATCCAACAGATGGCCCCAGCCAGCCTTCTGCTCTCCTCCAGTTGGTCCATCCCAAGTCCAAAGCATAAATCTGATTTTATTTCCATTTGGAACAATTCCGTTTCTCCACATTCTCTTCAGGATCAAGTCCTGATTCTTTCATACAGCTTTAAGTCTGATCCTGCTTACCTCCCCAATTCTATTTTTTAACACACACATAATACTCCAAAACTGCTTTTCTGTATTTGTGGCAAACTCCAGATCTCCTTGAGAACTTGGCATAGGAGCTGTTTTGTTTTTGTTTTTGTTTTGAGATGGAGTTCCGCTCTTGTTGCCCGGGCTGGAGTGCAATGGCGTGATCTTGACTCACAGCAACCTCCACCTCCTTGGTTCAAGCCATTCTCCCGCCTCAGCCTCCCCAGTAGCTGGCATGCACCACCATGTGAGGCTAATTTTGTATTTTTTAGTAGAGGAGGTTTCTCCATGTTGGTCAGGCTGGTCTCGAACTCCCGACCTCAGGTGATCACCCGCCTCAGCCTCCCAAAATGCTGGGATCACAGCCATGAGCCACCGCGCCCAGCGGAGCTATTTTAAAGAAACCTTAACTGACTGCTCAAGCTTCAGTTAGATATTCCTTCTTCCTGGGTGCTCCCACAGGCCCAATACTTTGTCTGTCACAGCACCTAACATGGTATCTGTAATTGCTTCTCTTCATCTCCCACTAAGCTATATAGGCAGGTCAACTGATGAGAAGACAGATGAATTGTGGAGAACAGAAAAGAGCTGGTTTAGAAAATGAGTAGCATTGGCCCAACTGAGGTTGGAGAACAACTTGTCCATAGATATATATTACAGTTTTGTGATTCTTTTAGCATCTTGGTTATAGGTACTTGAATGTTGAAGGATGATTTAGGGTTTTGCTTGGCAGCTGCAGTGAAACAACAATGGGAGAGGGGCATCAAGAACATACACAAGAACGTGGCTGAAATGATGGAATGCAGAATCTAAGCTGCATGGGTAAGGAAGATTATATGGTTTGGATCTGTGTCCCCACCCAAATCTCATGGTCAATTGTAATCTGCAATGTTGGAGGTGGGGCCTGGTGGGAGGTAATTGGATCACGGAGGTGGGTTTCTGATGAATGTTTAGCACCACCCTCTTGAAGTGAGTTATCATGAGATGTGGTCATTTAAAAAAGTGTGTAGCACCTCCCCCTTTGCCCTCTTGCTCCTGCTCCCACTGTGTGAGATGCTTGCTCCCCCTTCGCCTTCTGCCATGATTGTAAGCTTCCTGAGGCCTTCCCAGAAGCAGATGCCAGCATTATGTTTCCTGTACAGCCTGCAGAACCACAAGCCAATTAAAGCTCTTTTCTTATAAATTACCCAGTCTCAGGTATTTCTTTATAACAAGGCAGCTGACACAGAAGACAAGCTAGAAACTGGCCAAAGGGGCAGAGGGAGGAGTTGCAGGTGTCACTGGAATGGAAAAACAAGTTTGGTAGGAATTGAGAGCATGAGAAGAACAGGAGGTTGTGGTCACAGAGGAGTTATTTAGATTTAAGATTTTGTAGCCAGGCGCAGTGGCTCACGCCTGTAATCCCAGCACTTTGGGAGGCCAAGGCTGGTGGATTGCTTGAGGTTAGGAGTTCAAGATCAGCCTGACCAACATGATGAAACTCATCTCTACTAAAAATACAAAAAGCGGGGGGTCAAGCTGTAACACAAAACGGATAGATAAATGAAAATTTAAAAAATTAAAAAAAAAAAAAACATCGTATCCAGCTGGAGCTGAGGGGAATGGTGAATGGAGGGAGCTTGCAGGAGGATCGCCTGCATCCACTGGGACAGAGAACCGTCTCAAAAAAAAAAAAATACAAAAATTAGCTGGGTGTGGTGGCAGGCGCCTGTAATCCCAGCTACTTGGGAGGTAGAGTCAGGAGAATCTCTTGAAGCCAGGAGGCAGAGGTTGCAGTGAGCCGAGATTATGCCACTGTACTTCAGCCTGGGCTACAGAGTGAGACTTTGTATGGAAAAAAAAAAATGCTGGAAGATCGCGCCACTGCACTCTAGCCTGGGCAACAGAACGAGACTCCATCCAAAAAAAAAAAAAACCAGGAAAAAAAGATTTTGTGTGGTGGGTGTATTAGGCCGTTCTTGCATTGCTATAAAGAAATACCAGGCCAGGCGTGGTGGCTCACACCTGTAATCCCAACATTTTGGGAGGCTGAGGCAGAGAGATTGCAAGGTCAGAATATCAAGACCATCCTGGCCAACATGGTGAAACCCCGTCTCTACTAAAGATACAAAAATCAGCTGGGTGTGGTGGTGCATGCCTGTAATCCCAGGTACTCGGGAGGCTGAGGCAGAAGAATCGCTTGAACCAGGGAGTTGGAGGTCGCAGTGAGCCGAGATCGCACCACTGCACTCCAGCCTGGTGACAGAGCAACACTCCGTCTCAAAAAAAAAAAAAACAAAAGAAAAGAAATACCTGAGGCCAGGTACCGAGGCTCATGCCTGTAATCTCAACACTTTGGGAAGCCAAGGCAGGTGGATTACCTGAGCCCAGGAGTTCAAAACCAGCTTGGGCGACATAGCGAAGATGCATTTCTACGAAAAATACAAATATTAGCCAGGTGTGGTGGCATGTGCCTACAGTCTCAGCTACTCAGGAGGATCACTTGAGCCTGAGAGGTGAAGGTTGCAGTGAACCAAGATCGCACCACTGCACTCCAGCCTGGGTGACAAAGTGAGACCCTGTCTCAAAAACAAAAACAAACAAAAACGTGAGACTGGGTAGTTTGTAAAGAAAAGAGGTTTAGCCGGGCGCGGTGGCTCACGCCTGTAATCCCAGCACTTTGGGAGGCCGAGGCGGGCGGATCACAAGGTCAGGAGATGGAGACCACGGTGAAACCCCGTCTCTACTAAAAATACAAAAAATTAGCCGGGCGCGGTGGCGGGCGCCTGTAGTCCCAGCTACTCAGGAGGCTGAGGCAGGAGAATGGCGTGAACCCGGGAGGCGGAGCTTGCAGTGATCCGAGATTGCGCCACTGCACTCCAGCCTGGGCGACAGAGCGAGACTCTGTCTCAAAAAAAAAAAAAAAAAAAAAAAAAAAAAAAAGAGGTTTAGGCTGGGTGCAGTGGCTTATGCCTGTAATCTCAACACTCTGGGAGGCCAAATTAGCCAGGTGGATCACGAGGTCAAGAGATTGAGACCATCCTGGCCAACACGGTGAAACCCCATCTCTACTAAAAATACAAAAATTAGCTGGGCATGGTGGTGCATGCCTGTAGTACCAGCTACTCTGGAGGCTGAGGCAGAAGAATCACTTGAACCCAGGAGTGGGAGGTTGCAGTAAGCCACGATCACACCACTGCACTCTAGCTTGGCGACACAGCAACACTCCGTCTCAAAAAAAAAAGAGGTTTAATTGGCTCACCGTTCTGCAGGCTGTGTAGCAAGCGTGGTGCTGGCTCAGCTTATGGGGAGGCCTCAGAAAGCTTACAATCAAAACGGAAGGTGAAGGGGAAAGCAGGGACGTCACAGGGTGAGAATGGGAGTGTGAGACAGAGTTGTGGGGGAGGTGCCACACACTTTTAAACAACCAGATCTTGCGATAACTCATAGGGTGAATACTACACCAAACCATGAGGGGTCCCCCCCATGATCCAAAAACCTCCCACCAGGACCTACCTACAGCATTGGAGATTACATTTCAACATGAGATTCGGGCAGGGATAACTATCCCAACTATATCAGCGGGGGACAGAGGGGCAGAGGAAAGAACAAGGGAAGAATCCAAATTCTTATATCTTCCATCCTCCAGAACAGAACAAATACTTCAAGAACAGATCATGCCACAGGCCAGCAATAAATTCCTATTTATTGACAGTCTGACCTTGCTGGCAGGATGGTTCCAAAGTTCTGCTGGAAACCAGCTCTACATCCTCAATTTAGCAAGATGAGCAGTTTTCCAGGGCCCACCATGGTAAGGGGGCCCACCCAATGCTGCCCATCTGATCCCACAGGCTGGCCCCTGGATAGGTAACTTGGTGGCAACTCTAGTCTCTCATCATGTACAGGGGGTAAACCAGTTCATGCAAGGATCATGTCATGTATTAAGCTGCCTAATATATACAAAAACACTGCTAGGCCCTGAAGAAACAGGGATGAATAAATTACAGTCTTCCTGTGAGGAGTTTGAAATTAGCAAGGGAGACAGACACATAAGAAGTAAAATAACCGTACAGTGAGATATGCTATAAACAAACCTGGCAGGAGATGTAAGGGAAGGCTTTATAGAGATTTGCACTGTTCAAAAAAAAAAAAAAAAAAAAAAAGGATAAGGCCGAGTGCAGTGGCTTACACCTGTAATCCCAGCACTTTGGGAGGTTGAGGTGGGCGGATCACAAAGTCAGGAGTTCGAGACCAGCCTGGCCAATATGGTGAAACCTCGTCTCTACTAAAAAATACAAAAATTAGCCAGGCGTGGTAGTGCGCACCTGTAGTCCCAGCTACTCTGGAGGCTGGGGCAGAAGAATCACTTGAACTTGGGAGGTGGAGGCTGCAGTGAGCTGAGATCACACCACTGCACTCTAGCCTGGTTGACAGTGAGACTCTGTCTCAAAAAAAAAAAAAAAAAAAAAAGGCCAAGTGTGGTGGCTCACACCTGTAATCCCAGCACTTTGGGAGGTGGAGGCGGGCGGATCACAAGTTCAGGAGATGGAGACCATCCTGGCTAACACTGTGAAACCCTGTCTCTACAGAAAATACAAAAACAAAAATTAGTCGGGCGTGGTGGTGGGCATCTGTATTCCCAGCTACTTGGGAGGCTGAGGCGGGAGAATGGCGTGAACCCAGGAGGCCGAGCTTGCAGTGAGCCGAGATCACGCCACTGCACTCCAGCCTAGGCGACAGAGCAAGACTCCGTCTCAAAAAAAAAAAAAGGATAAGTAGGGAATAGGAGATTGGGTGGTTTAGGCAGGAGGAACAATATGAGGCTTGTAGGCTTGAGAGAATATGATATTCAGTATTTCTATTTGAATACAGGATAGGGTTCCAGAAGGGGAATGTACCTCGAGAAGTAATTAGGATCCAGGTCTGAGCGGTCTCATATGCCAGGCTATTTTGACTTTACCTTGTATGCTCATATAATCTGGGTATACATCAAAATCAGTGCTGGCCGGTCGTGGTGGCTCACGCCTGTAATCTCAGCACTTTGGGAGGCTGAAGCAGGCAGATTATGAGGTCAGGAGATCAAGACCATCCTGGCTAACACGGTGAAACCCTGTCTCTACTAAAAAATACAAAAAAATTAGCCAGGCGTGGTCCGGGCGCCTGTAGTCCCAGCTACTTGGGAGGCTGAGGCAGGAGAATGGCATGAACCTGGGAGGTGGAGCTTGCAGTGAGCTGAGATTGCGCCACTGCACTCCAGCCTGGGAGACAGAGCGAGACTCTGTCTCAAAAAAAAAAAAAAAAAACAACGAAAACAAAATCAGTGCTTATTTTTTTGAGACAGAGTTTGGTTCTTGTTGCCCAGACTGGAGTGCAATGGTACAGTCTCAGATCACCGCAACCTCCGCCTCCCGGGTTCAAGCGATTCTCCTGCCTCAGCCTCCCAAGTAGCTGGGATTATAGGCATGAGCCACCATGCCCGGCTAATTGTTTTGTATTTTTAGTAGAGACGTGGTTTCACCATGTTGGCCGGGCTGGTCTCGAACTCCTGACCTCAGGTGATCCACCCACCTCGGCTTCCTAAAGCGCTGGGATTACAGGTGTGAGCCACTGAGCCCGGCCTCAGTGCTTGCTTTAAAAAAAAGAAAAGAAAATGCTGATGACCAGGTAACCCCTCTCCTGAGAATCCTGATTTTAAAAAAGTAGAGAACTTTTATATCTAGCTGGAGGATCGTATGTGCACTAGTCAGCACTCTGTGTCTAGCTCAGGGTTTGTGAATACACCAATTGGTACTCTGTATCTAGCTAACCGAATGGAGACTTGGAGGACTAGCACTCTGACTCTGTGTCTAGCTCAAGGATTGTAAATGCACCAATTGGCACTCTGTGTCTAGCTCAAGGTTTGTAAATACACCAATCAGTACTCTGTGTCTAGCTCAAAGTTTGTAAACATATCAATTGGTACTCTGTATCTAGCTAACACTGTATCTAGCTAACTAGCACTCTGTGACCCTGTGTCTAGCTCAAGGATTGTAAACGTACCAATCAGCACTCTGTCAAATCGGACCAATCAGCTCTCTGTAAAATGGACCATCAGCAGGATGTGGGTGGGGCCAGATAAGGGAATAAAAGCAGGCTGCCCGAGCCAGCAGTGGCAACCCGCGGGGGTCCCCTTCCACCCTGTGGAGGTTTTGTTCTTTCACTCTGTAATAAATCTTGCTGCTGCTCACTCTGGGTCCATGCTGCCATGAGCTGTAACACTCAAGGCGAAGGTCTGCAGCTTCATTCCTGAAGCCAGCAAGACTACAAACCCACCGGGAAGAACAAACAACTCCTGAGGCACTTCCTTTAAGAGCCGTAACACTCACCACGAAGGTCTACAGCTTCACTCCTGACAGCAAGACCACGAACCCGCCAGAAGGAAGAAGCTCCAGACACATCTGAACGTCTGAAGGAATAAACTCCGGACACACCATCTTTAAGAACTGTAACACTCAATGTGAGGGTCCACGGCTTCCTTCTTGAAGTCAGTGAGACCAAGAACCCACCAATTTCGGACACACTTGGATTACAGGTGTGAGCCCACTGTGCCCGACCTCAGTTCTTTTTCTAATTACAAAATTCACTGATTGTCTAAAAAACTCCACCATCTACTTCTTTGACCCTCACCTATGTCTGCAGGGAGATGAACTGGGTCATAAAGGGCAGTAATTGTAGAAGCAGGTAAATTAAGGGCTTTTCAGGCCAGAAGTCATTTGTGATTTTTCCACTGTGCTTCTTCCCCTGGGGAGAGAGAACCTTAAGTCCACTTCCTTACACGTTGCTCCCAGGTGGCAAAACAGAAGTCACTACTCAAAGGTCCAATTTTCAAGGGGAACTCCCTAGACGGCAGATCCCCTTTAAAATCGCTGAGATAAACACAAGAGTAAACTTTTTCAAAATAATTTGCCATAGAAAGTTAAGAGAAGCCCAAAGACATACACAGTGATAAATAAGAACAAAAACATAGAAGAAGACTAACGGACCGCGAGATACTTTACCAATTAACAATAACCGTGTCAGGCTGCCCAACTCAGAGAGTGAAAGGACAGACACCCTCTCTCCTTGGGCGCCTCTGCGCCAGACCGGGTTTCGGCTTGCTTATGGTGGGGCACTGAACGCTCACTGTGCGGCCAGGGAAGTCTCCAGCATAGCCTCTGGAAGACATTCCTATTACATATTTATTACTTTGGCGCGGGCCATTCGTGACAGGTGGGAGAGGAGTGAGGTGAGATTCAGACGGTGGGACCCTTGCATGGGACAGATGCCCACAGCCCCTTCCCCAGTTGGGGGGCCACGAACCGCCTCGCAGGGCTCAGCAGCTGGTGGTTCAGCCGGCAAGTGCCTCGAACAAAGCCGCCGCCTGCGCTCCATCTCCCCGGCCCTCGCTAGGCTCTTGCCTGCGGGTACACCTCTCGGGCCTCGGCCAGGGCGAGCCTCCTGGCCAAGAGCTCTCAAACCCCAAATCTTTCCCGGAGCAAGCGAGCGGCCTAGATGCCACTCCTCTCCCGAAGGGGCGTCAGGGTCCTGGCTGCCAGGCCTCAGCCCCCTCCCCGGGAAGCCGTCGCGAAGGGGTCCCCAGGGGCTGCAGCGTCTAAGGCCCTCTACATTCAATGCAACGAGCTTTCCGCCAGGCTGAGGTCCCCGCCGCTGAGGGCGGAAGTGGTAAGACTGACGTGTCCTGGGCCGCGCTGCCGATCGCCGGGAGGACCCCCGCCTTGCCCAGGACGGGCGGGGCGAGCCGAGCCTCACGGGGTCGCCGGAGCTGGGCCGGGCCTCCAGATGGAGAAGGCGCAGCGGGGAGTTCTTGAGTAAGCCAGAGCTGTGTCCAGCGCGGTGTAGCCGCAGCTGCAGCTGTCAGGCGCAGCAGCGGGCAACCCCGTGGAGGTCGGTTGGCAGGTCCTCTCCAACCCGCCGCTACCGCGCCGCTCTGGTAGAGACCCCGGCAGGAGCCCAAGGGCAGCTACGGGGCCGCGGAGGCCGCTGGCGCCGCCTCGGCCAGCCCTTCCCGCGCGGTGAGGACCTCGGGGCTATGGCGGGAAGGGACCCGAGGTGCGAGACCGCGCGGCGTTGTCATGGAAACGGGCCAGGGCGCGAAATAGAGGCCCCGGGCCGGACGGGCTGCGGGAGGGATGAACCCCAGGTTGGGAGGATGAGAGAGCTGAAGTGGAGCGGGGTCTTTGGGATAGAGAGAGGCGGGGTAGGGTGGGGGCGGGGAGGGGGTCAATGGGAGCAAGTGGAGCCAGGGGACCTCAGTTCGAGGCACCTGACCTGGGGTTTCTGTAACCTCCCTGGTTTCTGTAACCTCAGGATTCCCCCAAACAGGTTCCACTGCCTTAAGGATGACAGTCATAGGGAACCCTCGAAGTTGGAGCTGCCAGTGGTTGCCAATCCTGATACTGTTGCTGGGCACAGGCCATGGGCCAGGGGTGGAAGGCGTGACACACTACAAGGCCGGCGACCCTGTTATTCTATATGTCAACAAAGTGGGACCCTACCATAACCCTCAGGAAACTTACCACTACTATCAGCTTCCAGTTTGCTGCCCTGAGAAGATACGTCACAAAAGCCTTAGCCTGGGTGAAGTGCTGGATGGGGACCGAATGGCTGAGTCTTTGTATGAGATCCGCTTTCGGGAAAACGTGGAGAAGAGAATTCTGTGCCACATGCAGCTCAGTTCTGCACAGGTCAGCCTCTCCACATTGGCTATCATGTAGCCCTCCTTCCCAGAGACTAACAGTGCCTTACATATATGGTTCAGGGTACCTTTATGGAAATTGTCTGATTTGATTCTAACTACAATACAACCCAGTGTGGCAGGCAGGGTAGGTGATGCTATTCTAATTCAGTTGACTAAGTTACGAACTTGCTTAGAAGTTACTTTTTTCAAGATTACATTGACAGTGAATTGCAGAACTGATATCAGAGCCCAGGGTTTCTTACTGCAAGCTTCTCTGTTGGTCATGAGGTCCCAACTATCAGTCCTACATATTTCTGTTTCCTTCCATGCCTACCTCTTGGCTGTTTCTTAACTGTTTTCCTGTAGTCTCTACCTAACCTTCCCTGTCATGCTTTTTCTTTAGTGAATCCTGGTACTTCTTAGTCCACTCCAGACTTCCTTACACCTTCCCACTCTCCTGTCAAGTCATACTTGCTCTTTCTTTTGGAGAATCTCAACATACTGGAGTCTAATCCAGTGATTGTCAACAGGGAACACTTTTGTTCCCCAAGGAACATTTAGCAATGTCTGGAGACATTTTTTATTGTTACAGCTGGGGGTACTACCAGCATGTAATGGGAAGAGGCCAGGAAAGCTACATCCTACAGTGCATGGGACAACCCCACTATGACAAGCTCCACCTTCTGGGTTCGTGCCATTCTCCTGCCTCAGCCTCCCGAGTAGCTGGGACTACAGGTGCCCGCCACCATGCCCGGCTAATTTTTTGTATTTTTAGTAGAAACGGGGTTTCACCGTGTCAGCCAGTATGGTCTCCATCTCCTGACCTTGTGTGCCTTGGCCTCCCAAAGTGCTGGGATTACAGGCATGAGCCACCGCACCTGGCCAATCCCAGCACTTTGGGAGGCTGAGGTGGGCGGATCATGAGGTCAGGAGTTTGAGACCAGCCTGGCCAACATGGTGAAACTTGTCTCTATTCAAAATACAAAAATGAGCTGGGTGTGGTGGTGGGTACCTGTAATCCCAGCTACTCGGGAGGCTGGGGCAGAATTGCTTGAACCCAGGAGGCAGAGACTGCAGTAAACCAAGATTGCACCACTGCACTCCAGCCTGGGTGACAGAGCAAGACTCCATCTCGAAAAAAAAGAACTGTCCACCCCAAAATATCAGTAGTGCTGAAGGTGAGAAACTTTGCTCTAACTCTCTGCCTGGGGAGGTCTTGTGTGACCAACTCCTGACTTGCTCTTTATAGGTGGAGCAGCTGCGCCAGGCCATCGAAGAACTGTACTACTTTGAATTTGTGGTAGATGACTTGCCAATCCGGGGCTTTGTGGGCTACATGGAGGAGAGCGGCTTCTTGCCACACAGCCACAAGATAGGACTCTGGACCCATTTGGACTTCCACCTAGAATTTCATGGAGACCGAATTATATTTGCCAATGTTTCAGTGCGGGACGTCAAGCCCCACAGCTTGGATGGGTTACGACCTGATGAGTTCCTAGGCCTTACCCACACTTATAGCGTGCGCTGGTCTGAGACTTCAGTAGAGCGTCGGAGTGACAGGCGCCGTGGTGATGATGGTGGTTTCTTTCCTCGAACACTGGAAATCCATTGGTTGTCCATCATCAACTCCATGGTGCTTGTGTTTTTACTGGTGGGTTTTGTGGCTGTCATTCTAATGCGTGTGCTTCGGAATGACCTGGCTCGGTACAACTTAGATGAGGAGACCACCTCTGCAGGTTCTGGTGATGACTTTGACCAAGGTGACAATGGCTGGAAAATTATCCATACAGATGTCTTCCGCTTCCCCCCATACCGTGGTCTGCTCTGTGCTGTGCTTGGCGTGGGCGCCCAGTTCCTGGCCCTTGGCACTGGTGAGGTGATAAAAATGAATTGGGGATTTATCTCATGGGGTAGAACTAGGTATGGAGTTTGTTCAGAAAAGGTCTGTGGATCTTCTATCCAGAGGGGCAGACCTAAGGGATAAGGTGGCCCTAGCAAGGATGCGCGTATTCTATTGTAGATTTTCTGGATAGCAAAACTGGGGGAGATTGTTTTGCTGGAGGCCCTGGGTCTGGGAGAAGGGGGGCTGATTCCTCTGAAATTGCTAGAAGAGACACAGGTAAGGCCTAACATGGGCTTTCCACTACCATCCTGCAGGCATTATTGTCATGGCACTGCTGGGCATGTTCAATGTGCACCGTCATGGGGCCATTAACTCGGCAGCCATCTTGTTGTATGCCCTGACCTGCTGCATCTCTGGCTACGTGTCCAGCCACTTCTACCGGCAGATTGGAGGCGAGCGTTGGGTGTGGAACATCATTCTCACCACCAGTCTCTTCTCTGGTGAGGACATTCCTTTCCCTGGTGGGCCTTTCTGGACTTAGGAATTAAGAATACATTGTGGCTGGGCACAGTAGCTCACACCTGTAATCCTAGCACTTTGGGAGACCGAGGCCAGAGGACCACTTGAGTCCAAAAGTTTGAGACAAGCCTAGGCAACATAGTGAGACCCTGTCTCTATAACCAAAAATTAGCTGGGCATGGTGGTTTACATCTGTAATTCCAGCTACTTGGGAGGCTGAGGCAGGAGGATTGCTTGAGTCTAGGGAGCCTGGGAGGTTGAGGCTACAGTGAGCCATGATTGCACCACTGCACTCTAGCTGGGGTGACAGAGTGAGACTGTCTCAAAAAAAAAAAGAACACATCATAGAACTTGGGATAGAGTCAGGATGAGGCTTGAAGGGAAGGAATATTGTAAAAGAAACAAGAAAACCAAAAAAGACAAGAATGCACTTCTTTTGAATAGTTTAACATTATAAAGCCCTCGCTGGGCGCGGCGGCTCACGCCTGTAATCCCAGCACTTTGGGAAGCCGATGGTGGGCAGATCACGAGGTCAGGAGATCGAGACCATCCTGGTTAACAAGGTGAAACCCTGTCTCTACTAAAAATACAAAAATAAACATTAGCCGGGCGTGGTGGCAGGCACCTGTAGTCCCAGCTACTCGGGAGGCTGAGGCAGGAGAACGGCGTGAACCCGGGAGGCAGAGCTTGCAGTGAGCTGAGATGGCGCCACTGCACTCCAGCCTGGGCGACAAAGCGAGACTCTGTCTCAAAAAAATAAAAATAAATAATATGTCCTAGGCAGTGTGGTAAGCACTCAGCAATAACTGTGTGAAGTAGGTAATATTTCCATTCCACAGATGAGGAAACTGAACTAAAGGCTGCTTAAGTAACTTGTCTGAGATTACACTCCTAAAAAGTAGTGAACCAGGTTTCAGCAGTCTGACTTGTATTCTCACCCATTACACTAAAGTAACACCCTTTAATTTTTATTTTGAAGGTGGGCCCACTCTAAGCTTTCAAACCAGATTGCCCTTTCAAAGGCAGTAGTAGTCCCTGTTCTGAACACTTTTTGTTCCCAATCCTATGTGTCTGATTTATATCCCATCACATTTATATTTGAACCAAGGCTTTCTGAAAACAGGGCCTTAATCCAAAGAAATGTCTCATGCTAGGAATTACCAACTCCAAGGCAAGACAGGCCCCTGGAGGCAGGTGGATTTGTGTTACTCTCAGATTATGTAGTAGCTAACTGGATCCTTAATGACACCGGGATGGGGGGTGGTGGTGGTAAGATTAAGAGCAAAGAGGCCAGGCACGGTGGCTCAGGCCTGTGATCCCAGCACTTTGGGAGGCTGAGGTGGGTGGATCAAGAGGTCAGGAGATGGAGACCATCCTGGCTAACACGGTGAAACCCCGTCTCTATTAAAAATACAAAAAAATTAGCCGGGTGTGGTGGCACATGCCTGTAATCCCAGCTACTCGGGAGGCTAAGGCAGGAGAATGGCGTGAACCCGGGAGGCAGAGCTTGCAGTGAGCGGAGATCGTGCCACTGCACTCCAGCCTGGGCAACAGAGTGAGACTCTGTCTCAAAAAAAAAAAAAAAAAAAAAAAAGAGTAACGGGATCTGAAAGGGTGGAAGTGAAGGCAGTTGACTCTGTAGGGACATCCAGGAGCATGAGTCTGCTGTTAAGAGTGGCAGGCTGCTTCACCCCCTTCCCCTTTTGGTCCTGGATATAAGTGGGTACCCTTAGAGATGTAGCTCCTAGTGTTGACCCTCCCTCCGGGGGCCATCCCTGCAGTGCCTTTCTTCCTGACGTGGAGTGTGGTGAACTCAGTGCACTGGGCCAATGGTTCGACACAGGCTCTGCCAGCCACAACCATCCTGCTGCTTCTGACGGTTTGGCTGCTGGTGGGCTTTCCCCTCACTGTCATTGGAGGCATCTTCGGGAAGAACAACGCCAGCCCCTTTGATGCACCCTGTCGCACCAAGAACATCGCCCGGGAGATTCCACCCCAGCCCTGGTACAAGTCTACTGTCATCCACATGACTGTTGGAGGCTTCCTGCCTTTCAGGTATCCTCCCTTTATTCCATGGCTATCACTCTCAGGTTCCTGACCTCAACTTTTCCTGTCCCTACTCATCCAGTACCCTAACCCAACCCGCTGATCCCTGGTTCAGTGGTACCATTCAGAGATCATTAAATGGTTCCTCCTATCTCCAAGCAGGACTGAGCTTGAATCAGTTCAGATATAAGAATGTCTCACTTATAAGGGCCTCCAGAGACATCTCCCCCTTCACCTTCCTGGTTTCTGACTTTAGTGTCTGTGGACATCATGTGGGGTTTAAAGCCCATTTGATGATCCATTTACTTTGTTGAATACCTCTTTGTGCCAGGCAAAGAATGAAGTGGAAAGTAAAATGGATAAGATCCCTGCCCTCAATCTATTAGGGAAGATATTCTTGAAGTGAGAGCAGCTAATCATAGGCAGAAAATCCCCATGAAGCCAGGAGATCTGGGGCAGAGAGTGGAGTGAACTCACTTTTCACAATGACCCAGCAACATGGGAGAGGGTGGGGGCTGGATTTCAGCCCAGCCACTGTGCACAGCCCTTTAATGCTGTGTATCATCTCTTTTCTTCACAGTGCCATCTCTGTAGAGCTGTACTACATCTTTGCCACAGTATGGGGTCGGGAGCAGTACACTTTGTACGGCATCCTCTTCTTTGTCTTCGCCATCCTGCTGAGTGTGGGGGCTTGCATCTCCATTGCACTCACCTACTTCCAGTTGTCTGGGGAGGATTACCGCTGGTGGTGGCGATCTGTGCTGAGTGTTGGCTCCACTGGCCTCTTCATCTTTCTCTACTCAGTTTTCTATTATGCCCGGCGCTCCAACATGTCTGGGGCAGTACAGACAGTAGAGTTCTTTGGCTACTCCTTACTCACTGGTTATGTCTTCTTCCTCATGCTGGGCACCATCTCCTTTTTTTCTTCCCTAAAGTTCATCCGGTATATCTATGTTAACCTCAAGATGGACTGAGTTCTGTGTGGCAGAAGTATTGCTGTTCTCTCCCTTTCTTCATGCCTCCTTGAGCTCTCCTACCAGCTTCTCTTCTGATTGACTGAATTGTGTGATGGCATTGTTGCCTTCCCCTTTGCCCTTTGGGCCTTCCTTCCCCAGAGAGGGCCTGGAAATTATAAATCTCTATTACATAAGGAGTATATATTTGAAATTTTTAAGTTGCCTTTAGTTTTGGTCCTGATTTTTCTTTTTACAATTATCAAAATAAAATTTGTTAAGAAAAAGGATCATGTAGTTGGAGGTTTTGGTCTGGATATAGGAACTCCAGCCCCGCGGTTAAGGGCACGGTCCTTTAGAAAGCCGAGCTGGCCACTGAATGCCTGAAGCTTGAGTTCTCCAACCCAACTTGGGAACTCCCGGCGTGGGGAACCTACATTGCCAGAGCTGGGTTTCCGCGACTCAGCCGGTGCTCAGCATAACGGAAGTGGAGGAGTCGGACCTCTTTGTGGGAAGTGAATTGAATCACCTTGGCAACCCTCGGGGCGTGTGGCAACGCCCTTTCCGCCGGAAGTGGGTGTCAGAGCCTCCACGTGCTGTCCCTCCCCCTCCCCTTTTCGGCCCAGTAGCGGCGGCTCAGCTGCTGCCATGGAGCCCGCCGGCCTGGAGCAGCTCCTACGGGAGCTGCTGCTGCCGGACACCGAGCGCATCCGTCGGGTACGGGAGTAGGCATAACCGGGCCAGGGCGAGCGGGAGGTTGCGGGAAAGACCCGACTCTCACCCCTAGCTTCCCCCCAGGCCACGGAACAGCTCCAGATCGCTCTTCGGGCCCCCGCCGCTTTGCCGGCTCTCTGCGACCTGCTGGCCTCGGCGGCCGACCCCCAGGTGAGACCCCTGACTCTCCCCTCCGAGCTTCCCACTGTACGCCACTGGTCAAGCCCCAATATCCACCCCCTGCGGTCCGCTCAGCACCCTCCTGCCCGGACCCCCACGTGCTTGTTTCCTCGTCCTAGATCCGCCAGTTTGCGGCGGTGCTGACCCGCAGACGACTGAACACCCGCTGGCGACGGCTGGCGGCGGAGCAACGGGAGAGGTGGGTTGGGCCTGGGTTGGGGCGGGGCCAGGCGGAGACTTTTCTTGGGCAGTCTGTGTACCAAACACCTGCCCACTGTGTTCCAGCCTCAAGTCCCTGATCCTGACGGCCCTGCAGAGAGAAACAGAGTAAGTACCTACCCCCTTTTCTCGGGATCCTGACGACCTTGTCGGGGTTTCTGCCTTCCCTTTCAGTTCCAGGCTGGGACTTGTGGGGCAGGGACTTCAGTTCTAGACCCAAGGTGGAGCGAAAATTTTAAGGCTGTTTTGAAGACTGAAGTTCTTGAGGAAGGGTGACTATGATCTGCCAAACTCGAGTCAGAAGAATAAGACTGAAATTCAGGCTAGTAAGACTGAACTTACCAGATTACATGCCCGCAGTGCTGCTGGGCTCCCTCTGAGCTGCTGTCTCATGTGTCCCAACTTGGTAAAGACCCTGTGCCCACACCTCCTGAAAGTTTCTCTCCTGGCTGCCCCATTGTGCCTGGCCACTGTGTGCAGAGGAAGGTATTGGAGAGTGATAGAGGAGATCTCTCCTGTTTGCAGGCACTGTGTGAGCCTCAGCCTGGCCCAGCTTTCAGCCACCATTTTTCGAAAGGAAGGCCTGGAGGCCTGGCCACAGCTTTTGCAGCTTCTTCAGCACAGTACCCACAGCCCCCACAGCCCAGAGAGAGAGGTACCATCACATGGTTGGCAGGAGGGAGGGACTAAGAGGTGGGATAGACCATGTAAGCTTGCTCTCCAATCCTCTATTCTTGGACAGATGGGGCTTTTGCTGCTAAGTGTGGTGGTGACCTCCCGGCCCGAGGCCTTCCAACCCCACCACCGGGAGCTGCTTCGGCTTCTGAATGAGACTCTTGGTGAGGTGGGCTCTCCTGGGCTGCTCTTCTACTCCCTGCGCACTCTGACCACCATGGCCCCCTACCTCAGCACTGAAGACGTGGTGAGATGTGGGCCCTCGTATCTTTGACTCCCTTTCCTCAGGCCTTCATGTCCTCATCTGTAAAAGTTACAAAACTGCTTTGGATTCTTTACCTGCCTGTGGCCCTTCCTGACAATTGAGAGGGGATGCTGTAGGTGGGCCTGGCTATTATGTCTGGGCTCCTCCTCGCAATTCAGGCTATGAGGAAGCTGTCAGCTGCTGGGGTGTGAGATTAGGCTGCATCATGCTGTCTGTGATGTGTCCCTCAGCCTCTCTCTCGGATGTTGGTGCCCAAGCTGATCGTGGCTGTGCAGACTCTGATCCCCATAGATGAGGTGAGGACAGGTGGGCAGGAGCTCTGTTGGAAGAAGAGTGCAAAAGTGACCAGCTTGGCCCACTGAAGAAGAGCATGGTAACCTTGTGCCTTGTTTGTCAGGCAAAGGCCTGTGAGGCCCTTGAGGTTTTGGATGAACTGTTGGAGTCAGAGGTGCCCATCATCACCCCCTACCTCTCTGAGGTCCTCACATTCTGCCTGGAGGTGAGCCTGGAGTGGACATGGCCCCTGCTACATGCTCTGTTGGGACTTTCCTTCCCTGTCTCTGATTCTTATTATTCTCTGGACAGGTGGCTAGAAATGTGGCCCTGGGCAATGCGATACGCGTACGTGTTCTCTGCTGCCTCACTTTCTTGGTCAAAGTCAAGAGCAAGGTGAGTGAGTGCCCACTGACACACATCACCCCACCCACTCTCTACCCTTAGTCTCACTCCTGGGACTTTCGGTTCATCTCAGGGTATCTAAAGTACTGTGGGGGTTCAAGCCTTGGCCTAGCCTCACCCCAGCTCCTGCCTGGGAGATTGGGAATTTTCTGTCGGACCTTTTATGGCCTGGAAGACTGGAATTTTTAATGTGAGCCCATCCTGGGAGCAGATTCTTAGGGACACTGTTCCACCTTCTCTGTCAAGGCCTTACTGAAGAATCGTCTCCTGCCACCCTTGCTACACACCCTTTTCCCCATTATGGCTGCTGAGCCCCTGCCAGGCCAGTTGGATCCTGAGGACCAGGATTCAGAAGAGGAAGAGTTGGAGATTGAGCTGATGGGGGAGACTCCCAAGCATTTTGCTGTACAGGTGAGATGTGGGGCAGGACAGAGGAGGAAGGTGTTAGGTGGCTGTGGGAGGTTGGGGAGGCAGAGATGGAGTCGAGCAAAGTAAGTCTCCCCATCCTATCTTAGGTTGTGGACATGCTGGCGCTACACCTGCCCCCCGACAAGCTGTGTCCCCAGCTGGTAAGTGTGGCTCTGTCCTTCTGGTGTCCCTACCTCCAAGTGTGCCTAGTCCCCTGAGGCCAAGGACGTTTAGACCCTGGGAGGTGTGAAGGTCTATTTCCACAGGAATGGGCAGGCTCTTTCTGGGGTTTCAGAAGCGTGCCACATGCTTCCCTAGATGCCCATGCTGGAAGAGGCCTTGCGGAGTGAGAGCCCATACCAGCGTAAGGCTGGACTCCTGGTGCTGGCCGTGCTGTCTGACGGAGCTGGTGACCACATCAGGCAGAGGTATCTATTCCCCTATCCCAGGGTGAGGGTTGCCCACGGGGAGGACCGTGGCTGTCATGGTTTACGCTTGTTGTTCAAGCTTATTTATCAACAGCATTTTCCCCCATTCTCAAAAGTGTCCTGGCTTAGAAGATAAATGACATGGCTTCCCAGCTGTAGGGATCAGGGGCTGCTGCCCACCCTCTGGTGACAGGAAAAGCCTTGTTTTTTCCAGGGAAAATGAAGAGAACAGGTCAGCCTAGGGCTGTCAGGTATAGCTCCTCAGCCTGTGTCCTCTTGTCCTGCCCTATCCAGACTGCTGCCCCCACTGCTGCAGATCGTGTGCAAGGGCCTGGAGGACCCCTCGCAAGTTGTACGCAATGCTGCGCTATTTGCCCTGGGCCAGTTCTCAGAAAACCTACAGGTGAACCAGGCTGAATGTGGGAGCCACCACTTGAATGTCCCCTTCCCCTCACCTTTCATCTCTTCAAGCATCCCTGCTGCCGTCGCACTCTTGTACGTGCCCTGCAGGTGAACCTGACTCAAGCCCTGCTTGCTCCCTCCCCCAGCCCCATATCAGCAGCTATTCAAGGGAGGTGATGCCACTGCTCCTCGCCTACCTGAAGTCGGTGCCTCTTGGACACACACACCACCTAGCCAAGGCCTGCTATGCCCTGGAGAATTTCGTGGAGAACTTAGGTAGTGATGGCAGTGGGGAGCTTGGGGGAGGGGGATGAGGCAGCGGCTTTGGCTGAATGCGCAGGATGTGCATCTCCTTGCATTGCTGCCTATGGTGGGGGAAAGTGTGTGATGGCGCCACAAAGGGGTTTCCGCCTGGAGGGAGGTGGGCATGCAGGTAGGAGATCTGGGTTGGTTGATAGAGGAGCATCCTTTCCCACAGGGCCCAAAGTGCAGCCCTACCTTCCGGAGCTTATGGAATGCATGCTGCAGCCTCTGAGGAGCCCCAGCAGTCCCCGGGCCAAGGAGCTGGCTGTGAGCGCCGTAGGAGCCATTGGTGAGGAGAGGCAGGAGGCAGGGATGTGGGGTTCACCCAAAGGCCCTGTGGCTGGTGGTCCCTGCCCTTTCCAGCTCTGATTCTGTCCTTCCATCCTGCAGCTACAGCTGCCCAGGCCTCGCTGCTGCCCTACTTCCCTGCCATCATGGAGCACCTGCGGGAATTCCTGTTAACAGGCCGTGAGGACCTTCAGCCTGTGCAGATCCAGAGCCTGGGTGAGTGAGAGGCTCCCAGGTGGGGATCCCAGTGCCAGCAAAGGGCCGATGCTCACCTGGTGTTGACAGAGATTGCCCCCACGGGAGCACGGATGTCTTCCTTCTCATCGAAGGGGGTGTTCTTCACCCTGTACCAAGGGGTAGGGGGGGATTTCTGAATCCCTCCCAGCTACCACCTTTGGTCCTATAGCCCACCTCCACCTCCTGGTGCTAATGGAGCCCTTGCTCCCACAGAGACACTGGGAGTGCTGGCACGAGCGGTGGGGGAGCCCATGAGGCCGCTGGCTGAGGAATGCTGCCAGCTGGGTCTGGGCCTCTGCAACCAGGTAGACGACCCTGACTTGCGGCGCTGCACGTGAGTGATCCCTCACCCTGCCTCTGCCCTTGTCCCCACCCCTCCTTTCTGCCCACTGGGCCCACTGGAATCCCCACCCCAGACTCTAGTCCTCTGGTTCGGACCATAGCCAGGTGTTCCCGGGCTCCCCCATCCTGTCTGGTGGTAGCAAGCAGGACCATACAGCTTCTTCTGCCTGCTTTGACCAGGTACAGCCTATTTGCCGCCTTATCGGGTCTGATGGGCGAGGGCCTGGCACCCCACTTGGAACAGATCACCACGCTCATGCTGCTGTCACTGCGTTCTACCGAGGGCATTGTGGTGAGCAGAGGGTGGGCTGGGCCAGGCCAGCCCTGCAATGGGATTTATCTCCTGGGCCTAGCTGAGCCAAAGTCCTTGCCGTGCCTCCACTCCAGCCTCAGTATGACGGGAGCAGCTCCTTCCTTCTGTTTGACGATGAGAGTGATGGGGAAGAAGAGGAGGAGCTCATGGATGAGGATGTGGAAGAAGAGGATGACTCAGAGATCTCAGGGTGCGGAGGGGTGCTCTTCTGATCAGGAATCTAGACTTTGGTTTTAGACCAGGGGACTAGTGCTGGATCTGCTCCTCTTGGTGCCTGATCACCACTGCCTCCCCATCTTACTCTAGGTACAGCGTGGAGAACGCCTTCTTCGATGAGAAGGAAGACACCTGTGCTGCCCTAGGGGAGATCTCTGTGAACACCAGGTGAGCATTCGCCCTTCCCTGGCACTGAAAACCCTGCCTGGGGGCCCCTTACCCATGACTGTGTCTCTCTCTGTAGTGTGGCCTTCCTTCCATACATGGAAAGTGTCTTTGAAGAAGTATTTAAACTGCTGGAGGTGAGGGGGCCAGTGGGTAGAGTGGGTGGGGTTCTCAGGCTGGGGGCCCTGTGTTCACAGTGCACACAGCAGACACATCCCGCCCCTCCTCATCTTGCAGTGCCCTCACCTGAATGTGCGGAAGGCAGCCCATGAGGCTCTGGGTCAGTTTTGCTGTGCACTGCACAAGGCCTGTCAAAGCTGCCCCTCAGAACCCAACACTGCTGGTGAGAAGGAGAGGCTGGGCCAGGCTGAGGGTTCTTGGGGCACGGCAGGGCCTGACCAGTGCTTCAGCCAATAATGTCCCCAGCTTTGCAGGCTGCCCTGGCCCGAGTGGTGCCATCCTACATGCATTCAGTGAACAGGGAGCGGGAGCGCCAGGTGGTGATGGCCGTGCTGGAGGCCCTGACAGGGGTGCTCCGCAGCTGTGGGACCCTCACTCTGAAGCCCCCTGGGCGCCTGGCTGAGCTCTGTAGCATGCTCAAGGCTGTGCTGCAGAGGAAGGTGAGCAGGGCAGGTGGGCTTCGGGAAGGAGAGGTGCCGGGCCCAGGTTGGGGACTGGCTACAAGTCCACCCCCATACCCCGATGAAAAGAGAAGGGGCATGAAAGCTCTGGCTAAGTTGAGCTGCTTCTTCTTGTAGACAGCCTGTCAGGATACTGACGAGGAGGAGGAAGAGGAAGATGATGATCAGGTGAGCGCCAGGGATGAAAACTGGGACCAGGTGGTCCAGGCAGTCTCCACAGGGACAGGGGTGGACGGTGTATTTGTTCTTGGCCTGGGGCAGCCAGGGCCACTAAAAGAGATTGGTAATGGTCAGAGAGACACAACCCTGATCCCATTAAGCCAGTGGGAGTTCAGGGAAGGAGAGCAGTGTGGACTGGGGTGTGCTTAGAGCGATAGGCAGGAGCAGAAGAGCTAGGGGAAGAAGCTGGGCCATGAAAACACCCGGTCTGAGAGGGACCAGCCCTATCAACCAAGGGCAGCCCCAGGGACCCCTGCAGCTGGTAGCAGAGCATGGTAGGGAGGTGTGCAGTCACTGAGCTGGCCCTGGTGCTCCAGCCCCTGACCTGGCTCCACAGGCTGAATACGACGCCATGTTGCTGGAGCATGCTGGAGAGGCCATCCCTGCCCTGGCAGCTGCGGCTGGGGGAGACTCCTTTGCCCCATTCTTTGCTGGTTTCCTGCCATTATTGGTGTGCAAGACAGTGAGTGTCCATCTTCTGGCTTCAAGCCCTAGTCCCCTCATGCACCCAGTGCCCACCTCAGCCTTTATCCTTGGCCCAGGCTGATCTGTACTCCTTCCTGTTCTCCCCCATCAGAAACAGGGCTGCACAGTGGCAGAGAAGTCCTTTGCAGTGGGGACTTTGGCAGAGACTATTCAGGGCCTGGGTGCCGCCTCAGCCCAATTTGTGTCTCGGCTGCTCCCTGTGCTGTTGAGCACCGCCCGAGAGGCAGACCCTGAGGTGCGAAGCAATGCCATCTTTGGGCTGGGTGTGCTAGCAGAGCACGGGGGCCACCCTGCCCAGGAGTATCCTTGGATCACAGGAGGGGAGGGACTGGGGGTTGGGGGAGTGTCCCCAGGGCTTGCAGGTGGGCAAGGTCTACCTGAGTGTGTGGCCATTCCTTGACTATGGATCAGACACTTCCCCAAGCTGCTGGGGCTCCTTTTTCCCCTCCTGGCGCGGGAGAGACACGATCGTGTCCGTGACAACATCTGTGGGGCACTTGCCCGCCTGTTGATGGCCAGTCCCACCAGGAAACCAGAGCCCCAGGTGAGGGAGGGAGACATCAGGCAGAGCCTGGAAGCTGAGGAGGGAGGGTGGTGGAGGGCAGGGCAGGTTGGCCTGAGACATTTGTGTGCCCAGGTGCTGGCTGCCCTACTGCATGCCCTGCCACTGAAGAAGGACTTGGAGGAGTGGGTCACCATTGGGCGCCTCTTCAGCTTCCTGTACCAGAGCAGCCCTGACCAGGTAACCTCGTGGCTGGCAGCCCTCAGAGGGGAGCACGCCGCTCCACTCAGTGATAGGCCCTGTCTGCTGATGAGGCTCAGGAGCTCCAGGCTGTCGGTTGCACCTGATGCAAGGTGACAGTTTCAGCTGTTCTTTTGATACTCCCTGCACCATTTCTTTTTTTTTTTTTTTTTTTTTTGAGACGGAGTCTCGCTCTGTCACCCAGGCTGGAGTGCAGTGGCCGGATCTCAGCTCACTGCAAGCTCCGCCTCCCGGGTTCACGCCATTCTCCTGCCTCAGCCTCCCGAGTAGCTGGGACTACAGGCGCCTGCCACCTCGCCCGGCTAAGTTTTTGTATTTTTAGTAGAGACGGGGTTTCACTGTGTTAGCCAGGATGGTCTCGATCTCCTGACCTCGTGATCCGCCCGTCTCGGCCTCCCAAAGTGCTGGGATTACAGGCTTAAGCCACCGCGCCTGGCCCCCTGCACCATTTCTTATTTGTCTTCAAGGATTGGCAGCCAGTCCTGTGATGGGACAGGAAGGACTTCCTCCACGTAGCATTTTTCCGGAGGAAGCTCCATTTCTACCCTTTGGTCTGAGCCAGAAGTTGCAGTTTTCCCAGGCTGGTTTCCTAAACCAGGGCCCTTTCAAACTGTGCTCTGTGGAGCCCTGGGTACCTCTGGGCCACCACACCATACATTTCAATTAGATCAGCTCTGCTCTCTGAAGAGATTTTGGCTGTACCAAGTAGCTAGGTTTGGAGTCATGTCAGAGTGTTTGTGTCATCCTTGTCTTACACCTTTAGAGATTGTTGTGTAGGTGGAGCTCCTGGGTGTCTGGGTTTCTTTAGGTCTTGAGGCTATGACTTTAATCATCTTGTTCCACATCCCCCATTCCCTCCAAAAAAAGTCATTACCACCAAGTTTCACTGGTCCTGCTCATGTTCATAGTTGTCTTGGATGCCTGTGAATCAGTACCAGGTGCAACCACCCCAATAAGAGACTCTGCCACTCCTTGGTCCTGACCACCTGCCTAGACCTGGGGTCCGGGGCTGCTGCCCTGAGTCAGCCACTCTTTCCTCACAGGTTGTAGATGTGGCTCCAGAGCTCTTGCGTATCTGCAGCCTCATTCTGGCTGACAACAAGATCCCACCAGGTGAGGACAGGAGTCACGGGCAGGGGCTTGGGGGAGGCTGGGAGTGGCAGGGCTCAGAGGACCTGGGGCAGCGAGGCTTTAGGAGCCCCAACCTTTCTCCCTCCCTCTGCACCCAGACACCAAGGCTGCACTGTTGCTGCTCCTGACATTCCTGGCCAAACAGCACGCCGACAGCTTCCAGGCAGCTCTGGGCTCACTGCCTGTTGACAAGGCTCAGGAGCTCCAGGCTGTGCTGGGCCTCTCCTAGATCGCAGGCTGCAGCCAGTCCAGAGAGAACAGAGCCTGCCCAGACCTTAAGACCACCTCTCAGCCCAGTTCAGTTCTGCCTTACCAAAGATTCTGGGACTCATAGCCATTTGGCGCCAGCCCTACTTGCTGCCTTACAGGGCTGTCCCTGAGGCTGGATCTGTTACAAATGAGTCATGACATCATACTGTAATAAAAGCAGCTTGTTTTCTGCTTGAACAATAGCTCTGAGAGCAAGAAGGCTGGAAATGCACATTCAGAAATGAAGTAAGCAGGACCCAGTGAGCCACGACGTGGTTTACTAGAAGTGGCCGGTTTCCTGGCAGCTTCGTAAATGGACTCTAACCTCGGTGGAATCTGGGCCCCGGCTGGATCAGGAGGCGACCATATGGCTTTTCTTGTTCCACGCGAAGAATCTGTTGCGCTGAGAGCACTGGTCAAGAGGGGAGGAGAGGGCAGGTTGGGGGAGTCCCTGTATGGGCCTCTGGTCTGTGTGTCCCTGCGCCACATACACACACACATGCATACACTCACCCAGGAGCATGTAGAAGACCCGAGCAGCCATCCTGCGGGGGCTGAGGGGTGACACCAGGCTGCTGAAGTCGGGCTCCCTGTTGGCCTGCAGCTCCAGTGCCACTGCCCTATAGGGATCAAGAACCATTAGCAGAGGCTTCAACCCGGGTCCACCCCATCAAGGTGCCACCCCCGTGGTACCTGTGCACAGCTTCCAGTGAGAGCAGCTCGAGCTCTGGGGGCAGCACCAAAGGCATCTCCATGGGCACCTCAGGGAGTTCAGGCACCACGGGCAATGCAGGAGGTTCTGGCTGTTCCACCTCAGCCCAGGCCCTAGGAGAACATGGGAGTAAGAGCAGGGAAGGTGGCAGCTGTGACAGTGACAAGGGGCATACCCATCCCAGCAGCCATTTCTACCACCTGGCCAAAGGCTGTGGGCCCTGGCTCCCATGGAGCCTGGCCGCTTACCACCGTTCTTCTGGTGGGATGAGGCTGATGCGGGACTTCTCCTCTTCAGCTGCCTCTAGGGAGAGCTCTGTTCGGGGAGGAAAGGCACTGGTGGGTGTCTGCTTGGGTGGTAGTTAGGGCCTTGTGGCCACCTGGTATAAGTAGATGGCAGAGCTATGCAGTGACTTGTTAAAAGCACACAGGTGAGAGAGCAGAGGAGGAGCAGTCCGTGCTTCCTTATGTCACACACACACGCCTTCACTCATGAAATAGCTTGAGCAGTTGGGATACTAGTTTCCTGGGACAGTGGTAAGGGTGGTGGTCCCACTGCCCCTCTTCTCTAGGTGTTTACCTGAAGACAGCATAAGGGGACCACTGGGCTCCAGGGCCTCCCTCGGGACCTGGGGACAGGAGAAGCAGAACTAAGACCCCAAGCATCTGGGACTCGGGCCTCAGAAGGCACAAGGCCAGTGAGCCTGTGCTGTTGGCCCTCATAGCAGGGGAGGGCAGCCAGTTGGTCAGGCAGACCCTGGCACTGGGGCGATGCAGGCAACAGGTGGTGCAGTTACCTCGATCTCACTTGGAACTTCAGCCTTTCTCCTTTCCTCCTCAGCAGCCTCCTTGGGCAGCTCTCGCCTGAGTGCTCTTGGGGGTGGCTGGGCACAGTGGGTCCAGAGACCCAGTAGTTCAAGGGGTAGCCAGCCAGCTGTGGACAAGAAGGCAGTAGGCACGGTTTGAGGCGTGAGGAGCACCAGGAATGAGAAATTGGTTTTGAGGATCCTTTGTGCCCACCCCCTGCCATTCTTACAGAGAGTTGGGGTTCTGAACAACTCTGCAGGGCCTGTGATGGTCCTCTCAGGAGGCTGCACCTTGGGCTGTGTGGTGGGGAAAGGTCAGAAGCCTCATTATGAAGCAGCCACTCCTCAGGTCCCCTTTGCCTCTTTGCAATGCATTGTTCTGGGGCTTCTGGACTTCCCAGCTTTTGGGCTCGTGACCCTGCCTGCCCTGCTCACTGCTAAAAGGAGGACTTTTTAACCTGGTGCCCATGGGTATGACAGTTGGGGTCACTAAAGGACCATGAAGAGTTGTACATGTGCAAACCCACATCGCCTGCATTTTCTGGAGAATGGAGGGGATTTTTCATCAAGTTCCCAATCCTACCCCCAACCTCCTGAGGAATTTAGAAGGCTCAGCCTGCATGTGCCCCTGGTATCCCTGCCTCCTTCCCTCTCCCCGCAAAGCCTGGGCTGCACTCACACATTCCCAGCAGTGGGCTCTGGTTTGCAGTTGTTCCCGGAATTTCTCCCGGGAGATCTGAGTCTCCTTGTCCCAAAACAGTAACCGGCGACGACGGCGGCGAGGAGGTGGGAAGACTGGGGGCCGCCTCAGCTGAGTGGGGAGGGCAGGTAGGGGCAAGGCTGCCCATTACTCTTTTTCCTGTCATTCTGGTGGACTGCTAACGGCCCCACACCCCGCCCCTGGAGGAACCTGGGGAAAGGGCTTGTGTGGGGTCTTCATGCACTTGAGCAGCTCATACCTTGCATAAGGGCACCCATCTGGAAAGTGCAGGCCAGACACAATGGGGTGTAGAAAAGGACATCTTTTATCATCTGCACTAAGGACCCCTGTAAGCTAGCAGTGGCCCTGGGCTTGGGGAGGCAGCCCTGGTGGGGGAGGGCAAAGAGGAGGAGGAGGAGGATTGGAAGGGATGCTACTCACCTCTGGGCTGGGTGGGGCTGGCAGACGCAGTTCCTCTGGGGGGGTCACCTCTGCAACAACACCCAAGGTTGTGGCTCTGTCCCATAAGCCCCTTACCCCTTGCAGATACCAGGGCAAGAAACTGCAGGGTCCTCCCTTTAGCGAGTTGGGATATAGAGCCCTTGTGTGCAGCAGTATAGAAGTACTCCCAGAAAAGCCCCTGGGGTGTGGTGGGCACTCACCCATGAGTAGGGCCCCAGGCTCCCAGCCTGTCGGCCTCAGCTCCTCAGGGACCAGGACTGGAAGTGCCTCTGCTATTCCTTCCACCCTGAAGGGAAATGGGCAAGAGAAATGAGAAGACCCTTCCCAGCACCAACACCCTACCTGGTCTAGGAATTCCTGCCCTTACTCTGCAGGAGCTGGAGGTGAGAGCCGGGGGACTACGATTTCACCCTCTGGAACCCGGAGCTCCTCCCTTAGCTCTGTGGAGAGAGAATCAGTTCAGAGGATGGAAAAGGAGAAATGGGAACATTGTCCAGTCCCAGACTGCCCACGCCAGGGGTTTGACCATCCAGCTCCAGGCGGGCCCTATGCTGCCAGAGACACCTACTTTCTAACAAGATAGCTTCGTCTTCCTCTGCGATCAGCAGGTCCAGGTCTCGGCGGCTGACCTCTGGGAGCTCCTGTTCACCCTGTCCAGAGAGAAGAGCAAGGGGAGGGGATTCAGTAACATTTCTGAAAAAGGCAAGTGGATCCAGGAGAGTGGATCCCAGAGGCATGCCACAGGGCCAGGTTCAAGGAAGCCACTGGGTGCTCAGGTGCCAGGGACAGAGAATAGGGAAATGGAGACAGAAAAGGCAGGACTCTGGGGACAGAGAGAAGTAGATGCAAGGGGGCTGGACCTCAGGCCCTGTGTGCAGGGAACAACTCACCTCAATCCGCAGCATCCGTATGGGCTCTGCCTCCTGGATCGTGATGGCCTCAGGGGGCAGCACAGTGACCAGAATCCTGTCTGGAGGAACAGGGGAGTCACCAGCCTCTCTGCTTCTTTCCAAATTCCCACAGCCGTGCAGTCAGGCAAAAGCATGGACTCTGAAGTCAAGGTAACCTGGATTCTAATCAGACCCAGGCTAATCTCTGGCATCCTGACCCTGGCTACACTGCTTAACCACTGTGAGCCTCACTTTCCTCATCAGTAAAATGGGGAGGCTGGACGAAATGGCTCATACCTGTAATCCCAACACTTTGGATTGCTTGAGCCCAGGAGTTTGAGGCCAGCCTGGGCAACATAGCGAGACTCTGTCTCTACAAAAAATTTAAAAACTAGCCAGGTGTGGTGGCTCATCCCTGTGGTCCCAGCAACTCTGGAGGCTGAGGTGGAAGGATTGCTTGAGCCCTGGAGGAGGAGGTCAAGGCTGCAATGATCTATGATCATACCATTGCACTCCAGCCTGGGGAAAAAAAGAAAAAAAAAAAAAGCCAAGTGTGGTGGCTTATGCCTGTAATCCCACCACTTTGGGAGGCTGAGGTGGGTGGATCACCTGAGGTCAGAAGTTCGAGACCAGCCTGGCCAACATGGCGAAAACCCATCTCTACTAAAAATACAAAAATTAGTTGGGCGTGGTGGTGCACGCCTATAATTCCAGCTACCTGGGAGGAGAATTGCTTGAATCCGGGAGGCAAAGATTGCAGTGAGCCTAAAGTGCACCACTGTATTCCAGCCTGGGCTATAGAGTAATACTCTGTCTCTCAAAAAAAAAAAAAAAAAAAAAGGATAAGAAATCTGACCTCAGAGGACTCTTGTAAGGTACTGATTAGGTTACACACATAAACTGCCCCTCGTGGGGCACAGTGGCTCACGCCTGTAATCCCAGCACTTTGGGAGGCCGAGGCGGGTGGATCACCTGAGGTCAAGAATTTGAGACCAGCCTGGCCAATGTGATGAAACCCCATCTCTACTAAAAATATAAAAATTCACTGGGCATGGTATTGCGCGTCTGTAATCCCAGCTACTAGGGAGGCTGAGGCAGGAGAATTGCTTGCAGTGAGCCGAGATCGCACCACTGCACTCCAGCCTGGGCGACACAGTGAGACTCTGTCTCAAAAAAAAAAAAAAAGGGCCCCTCACAGGGCCGGGCTCTTAAGCTAAAAAATGGTAATTTCTACAGCTCTTGGGCCTGCCTATGCCTCTCACCAGAAAGAAGGTTCTCTCTGCTGACCTGGCTTCCTGGGCTCTGTAGGGACTTCGGGAGGGATCTCTTCAACTCTCTCTGGAATTGCAGCCTCTAAGAGGTGTCGAATCTTTGGGGAGGGATTGGAAACAAAAGATAGGGTTCAGCTTCAGCCCCCTGCTTTCCCACTTTCACAACCTTCTTCAACAATGCACAGTAGGCCGGGCGCGGTGGCTCAAGCCTGTAATCCCAGCACTTTGGGAGGCCGAGACGGGCGGATCACGAGGTCAGGAGATCGAGACCATCCTGGTTAACATGGTGAAACCCCGTCTCTACTAAAAAAAAAAATACAAAAAACTAGCCGGGCGAGGTGGTGGACGCCTGTAGTCCCAGCTACTCGGGAGGCTGAGGCAGGAGAATGGCGTGAACCCGGGAGGCGGAGCTTGCAGTGAGCTGAGATCCGGCCACTGCACTCCAGCCTGGGTGACAGCGCGAGACTCCGTCTCAAAAAAAAAAAAAAAACAAAACAAAAAAAACCAATGCACAGTAATCTCCTTTTATGCCTAATTCTTGTTGCACTGACATCAGCTTGCAGTAAACTCACCTGCCATCTGGCCTCCTTTCCTCAGTTCCTGTTCTCACCTCCCTTCCCAACCCAAACCCCAGTTATCTAGCCCTCATCAATTTGTGCAAGAAGGCCAGGCGCGGTGGCTCACGTCTATAATCCCAGCACTTTGGGAGGCCAAGGTGGGTGGATCAGTTGAGGTCAGGAGTTCGAGACCAGCCTGGCCAACATCATGAAACCCCATTTCTACTAAAAATACAAAAATTAGCCGGGCGTGGTGGTGGTGCCTGTAATTCCAGCTACTCGAGAGGTGGAGACAGGAGAATTGCTTGAACTCGGGAAGTGGAGGTTGCAGTGAGCTGAGATTGCTCCACTGCACTCCAACCTGGGAGACAGACCAAGACTGTCTCAAAAAAAAAAAAAAAAAAAAAAAAAAAAAAATTGTGCAAGAAGCAATGCATCATCAACTGTTGTGGTTGACAGAGGTGAACAAAAAAGATTCTTGATCTTAAGGAAGTCTAGTGGGGAGACAAGGTTGTATGTAACCCCTCAAGAGTCAAGGCAAAGGGTAAAACAAGGCCCTAGCAAAGTGTTGAGTTCCCAAACCACATTTGGTTCCAGCTAAGACTGGGATAAATATTTCATAGAGAAGGGCAGCATTTAAGCCAGGTCTGTAAGAATATGTAGAACTCGACTTGTAGAGGATGAGGGGTGACCATTATGGGCTAGGGAAACAGCACAAGCAAAGACATGAATGTGGTATCATTGAGGCATAAGGGCCAAACTAGTGTTTAGGAGCCACAGATGCCCAGAGGACTGAGAGAGAAGTCTGGGGATGACTAGTTCTAAACCAGGGTATGTGCCGGGCATGGTGGTTCACGCCTGTAATCACAGCACTTTGGGAAGCCAAGGCGGGTGGATCGCCTGAGGTCAGGAGTTCAAGACCAGCCTGACCAACATGGTGAAACCCCGTCTCTACTAAAGATACAAAAATTAGCCGGGCATGGTGGCAGGCACTTATAATCCCAGCTACTTGGGAGGCTGAGGCAGGAGAATCGCATGACCAGAGGAAGTGGAGGTTGAAGTGAGCCAAGATCACACCACTGCACTCCAGCCTGGGTGACAGAGACTCCATCTTAAAAAATAGTAATAATAGGCCAGGCGCAGTGGCTCACACCTGTAATCCTAGCACTTTGGAAAGCCAAGGTGGGTGGATCACCTGAGGTCAGGAGTTCGAGACCAGCCTGGCCAATATGGCGAAACCCCATGTCTACTAAAACTAAAAAAAAATGGGCCAGGCGCTGTGGCTCATGTCTGTAATCCCAGCACTTTGGGAGGATGAGGCAGGTGGATCATGAGGTCAGGCGTTCGAAACCAGCCTGGCCAGCATGGTGAAACCCTGTCTCTACTAAAATTACAAAATCATTTGGGCATGCTGGCGAATGCCTGTAGTCCCAGCTACTTGGGAGGCTGAGGCAGGAAAATCACTTGAACCAGGGAGGCAGAGGTTGCAGTAAGCTGAGATCGTGCCACTGCACTCCAGCCTAGGCCACAGAGCAAGATCCTGTCTCAAAAATAATAATAATAATAGTAATAAAATAAAAAAATAAACTGGGGCATGGAGAGCCCCAAATGCTAGTAATCTGTTTGCAGCAGGAGCCACTGTTCAAATGGGGAACTAAGGAAGGAGGTGACATTAAGCTGTTGGAGTATTGGGAATAGATGGAGGAGGACAGGGGTAAGAAAGCCCAGTACAGAGAGATGAGAGCCTGGATTAGGGCCTCGGCAGTGAAAACAGTGTGGAGACAAGTGGGGACAAGAGCTGCCTCCAGTGGGGAAACCATCTGATCAGATTGGCCCCGAGTAGATAAGTACAGGGGGCTTCGCCTGGATGGATCCACCTTGGCAGTCCCCTTGTTACCACCTCCTGTGGGAGAGAGCTGTGGCAAGCTTCCCCCCCCAACCCCAATATCAGAGTGACACAGGGACAGCACTCCCCTTCTGCATTGTCAATTCACGAGTCTGGGGGAATACGAGTCTGGGGGAATAATACCTGAGGGATATCGAAAGGACTAGGAAGTCTGGGATCCACAGACATCATCCCAAAAAAGGGATCTGGAGCATCTTCTAGGGTTTCCATCATGGCCAGGTGGTTAGGAAGCAGTAGGCTGGGTCTGGGAGAGAATGTAGGCCCTCAGGGACTGAGGCTGAGCTAGGCTGAGGCCAAATTAGCAGGTGTTCCATCAAAGGCCCAGGGAACACTCACAGCTCAGTCTCCATATCTATTCGGATCTGCAGCTGGGCACGGTGGAGGCGCTCCAAGATGTGCTGGATGTCCTCTGTGGGCAGGGAGGGCGAGGTAGACAGCCAGCTTAGCAGACAGCTGCTCAGCCCGCCCCACCTCTGAGGGTTCCCAGCCTTACCCACGAGGTACTGGCATTGTTGAGAATAGACGCGGATCACACCGATCTGAAGTTGGGCTGAGAGATAGAGGGAGAAGCGGGGCCGCGGCAGGCCGGGCTGCGGGGGTTGCACTCGTACCAGCACGTAATTGAGGATTTCCTCGCTGGGGAACAATGGGCCCTGATTACCGCTGCGCCCAGGACTGGGCCCACAGCGTTGCCCACCCCATCCCCTAACTCACCCCCCCGCCCCAGGCCCTCCTTCCCTTTTCTGGGCCTTACCAGGTCTTCACCACATTCACCCTCAGGTATTCGCGCTTCACCAACCGGCTGCCGCGCGTCGCTGCCAGCCTGAAGTGGGTGGGGAAGGTGGGAAAATGGGGACGGAGGGGGAGCTGTCAGGCTGGGATCCCGGCCAGCATCCCCCATCGCACGCCCACGGGCCCCACCCTTACCAGATGGTGGCAAAGCAGCCGGTGTGGCGCTGAAGCACGTTGGGATAGTAGAACATCGTCCCTCTGGCCTTTCACCCTCAATTCCACCAGATCGCCGTTTGGATCTGAGTCGGAATTCTTTAGGGCACAGAATTCCCAACACCTTGGAGAGAAGTCAGGATTTGGACTTCTCTGGTGGCAAGGTGGGTGCACCCAGAAAACCAAGTTAATGAGGCAATGAACAATTGGTGTATACACGATTACCGGGATAACTGAGATGCAGGAGATGGGCGCCCCTCTCTGTGGACCCTCAGTGGATCCGCTCGCCACGTGATGCGTCGAACTTGAGCCTTCTGGGTTGGGTTCCAGGTTGGAGATGCAGAGCTCCAAGGGGACGCCCGGGCCGGAATCCAAAACAGGTCCCGAGGGAGCACGGTGTCCTCCACAGCAGGCCTCGGTCCTCGAGCGCTGGGAGCGATATCAGGCCCCTGGGACTTTCACTGGTTTGGGCGGCCGCGGTGTGGGCCCGGGATGTCTCCCGCAGGACTAGATGGCACCGCGGGAAGCGCGCGCTCCGGAGCCCCGCACCTCGCTCCTCATTAGATGGCGGCTTTTGCCAGGACAGCCAATGGGGAACAGGGGTCGGGTCGGGAGCGCCAAGTAGCCTAGGCTCGAGGCAACAGGGTCTCCCGAGGCAGCCAGCAAACCAATCATAAGGACTCTGCGTGCCGCTGGGGTCCATTGTGAGGTGTTCTGACCAATGGGCTCTGGTTCTCGCCTCTAGTAACAGGCGCTCCTTCCTTGACCAATGAGCGCATCCCCGCCGCTCGCCTCTAGCCTGGCAACAAGGGCGCCTCAATTGGTAGGGGAGGTCGGGTCACGTCGGGGGCAACTGTGCTGGGTCTCTTCCGGGTGCCAAGATGTACCTGGCAACGCGCCTGACCTGAGGTTAGACCCCGCCCTCCCCCCAGTCCACAAACTCCTACTTTGTTTCCAACTAGGGCGTGTCGTGTGCTGCAGAGGTAGAAAGATGTGAGATGAGGCCTGGAGCGGTGGCTCACGCCTGTAATCCTAGCACTTTGGGAGGCTCAGGAGGGCGGATCATGAGGTCAGGAGTTCGAGACCAGCCTGATCAACATGGTGAAACCCCGTCTCTACTAAAAATACAAAATTAGCTGCTCGTGGTGGCACAAGCCTGTAATCCCAGCTACTCAGGAGGCTGAGGCAGGAGAATGCTTGAACCTGGGAGGCGGAGGTTGCAGTGAGCCGAGATTGTGCCACTGCACTCCAGCCTGGACAAGAGAGCAAGACTCCATCTCAAAAAAAAAAAAAAAAAAAAGATGTGAGATGATAGTCTTGGAGCCCCCACAGGTCAATGAGGAAGAAGTCAATCGTTTTTGTTTTGTTTTGTTTTGTTTTGTTTTGAGATGGAGTCTCTCACTGTTGCCTAGGCTGGAGTGCAGTGGCGCTATCTCTGCAATCTCGGCACACTGCATCCTCTGCCCCCCCATCCCCTCAGGTTCAAGCGATTCTCATGTCTCAGCCTCCCGAGTAGCTGGGATTACAGGCACCCTCCACCACACCCAGTTAATTTTTGTATTTTTAGAAGAAACGGGGTTTCACTATGTTGGTCAGGCTGTTTCTTTTCTTTTTGAGATGGAGTTTCACTCTGTCACCCAGGCTGGAGTGCAATGGCGCAGTCTCAGCTCACTGCAACCTCCGCCTCCCCAGTGCAAGGGATTCTCCTGCCTCAGCCTCCCGAGTAGCTGGGATTACAGGCACCCACCACCACCCCCGGCCAGATTTTGTATTTTTTAGTAGAGACAGGGGTTTCACCATATTGGTCAGGCTGGTCTCGAACTCCTGACCTCAGGTGATCTGCCTGCCTTGGCCTCCCAAAGTGTTGGGATTGCAGGTGTGAGCCACCGCCCCCAGCTGAAGAAGTCAATCTTACACGAAACTCCAAAAGGACTTACTGGGGTCACTTCCTAAATCTGAACAACTTAGGTTATGGGCACACCACGTGGTCCTTTCCCAGCTGCCAGTGTTCTCCCGGCTGAAATAGACTTTAGCTTTGTTGGATGCAGCACATACTTCTCAGCCTGGAAAAGCCATATTTTCAAACAATTGTTTGTGTAAATTTAAGAGGTATGGTTGTAATAACAAATAACCCTTGTCTCTATGCCTCCTACCTTTGCACAGCCATTTCTTTGGCCTAGAATGCCCTTCTCTGCCTTGACTGCAGGGCATACTTCTTCCTAAGACTTATCTCTTACTGCAGCTGAGCTGACCTTATCTTCTTACAGTTCCCTTCAATTTGGGAGCTTTTTTTTTTTTTCTTTCTGAGATGGAGTTTTGCTCTTGTCGCCCAGGCTGGAGTACAATGGACCATCTCGGTTCACTGCAATCTCTGCCTCCTGGGTTCAAGCAATTCTCCTACCTAAGCCTCCTGGGTAGCTGGGACTACAGGCATGTGCCACTACGCCCAGCTAATTTTTTTGTATTTTTAGTAGAGACAGAGTTTCACCATGTTGGCCAGGCTGGTCTCAAACTCCTGACCTCAAGTGACACCCACCTCAGCCTCTCAAATTACATGCCTATACTCACAGCTACTTAGAAGGCTGAGATAGGAGGATCGATTTAGCCAAAGGTCGAGGCTGCAGTGAGCCATGATCACACTACTATGCTCCAGCGTGGGTGATTCTGTTTTTAAAAAAAAAGAAAGGCCGGGCGCGGTGGCTCAAGCCTGTAATCCCAGCACTTTGGGAGGCCGAGGCGGGTGGATCACGAGGTCAGGAGATCGAGACCATCCTGGCTAACATGGTGAAACCCCGTCTCTACTAAAAACACAAAAAACTAGCCGGGCGTGGTGGCGGGCGCCTGTAGTCCCAGCTACTCGGAGGCTGAGGCGGGAGAACGGCGTGAACCCGGTAGGTGGAGCTTGCAGTGAGCCGAGATCGCGCCACTGCACTCCAGCCTGGGCGACAGAGCGAGACTCCGTCTCAAAAAAAAAAAAAAAAAAGAAAGAAAGAAAAAAAGAAATACATGAAGTGGCCGTAAGTGCTATGAAGAAAATGAGGCAGCATAGGAGGATAGAATAATGACGACTGCTATTTAGGGAGGGTATTTCAGGGAAGTCTTGCCCCCTCTCTTAAGAGATACAATTTGAAGAAAGTGGGTAAGTCATGTGCTTACTTGAAGAAAAAGTAATTTAGACAAAAGAACTGGCAACTGCAAAGATCCTGAGGTAGAAATGTGTTTGGTGGGTTCAAGGAGCCTGAAGCAAAGCGGCAGGGGAAGAATGGCAAGGGGCAAGAGAAAGAGGAGGGCAGGGTCACATCACAGGACCTCAGAGGTCGTTATGGGCATTTGGGCTTTTACCCTGGGTGATTTGGGACCCAATGAAAGGTTCTGAGCAGAGGAGTGACATGATCAGAATTGTATGTGAAAAGGATCTCTACTGTGTTGAGAATAGCTTAAGGTAGACACGAGTGGAAACAGATGTGAAGGAAGCAGAGAAGATATGAGAGATGGTGGTAGTTTGTTCCAAAGTGTTGCTGATGGAAACAGAGAGAAGTGGTCAGACCCTGGATACATATTGAAGGAATAGCGACAGGATTTGCTGATGAATTGGATGTGGGGTATGATAGAAAACGGAAGGAGGCCAGGTATGGTAGCTTACACCTGTAATCCCAGCAGTTTGGGAGGTGAGTGACTGGGACTATAGGCACACACCACCACACCTGGCTTCTTTTTTTTTTTTCACTTTTTTTTTTTTGAGATGGAGTTTCGTTCTTGTTGCCCAGGTTTGGAATGCAATGGCACGATATTGGCTCACTGCAACCTCTGCCTCCTGGGTTCAAGCGATTCTCCTGCCTCAGCCTCCCAAGTAGCTGGGATTACAGGCATGTGCCACCATGCACAGCTAATTTTTAAAATATTTTTAGTAGAGATGGGGTTTCACCATGTTGGTCAGGCTGATCTCGAACTTCTGACCCCAAGTGATCCACCCACCTCGGCCTTCCAAAGTGCAATGATTACAGGTGTGAGCCACCGTGCTTGGCCTCCCCTGGCTAATTTTTAAGAATTTTGGGGAGCCAGGCACAGTGGCTCACACCTGTAATCCCAACACTTTGGGAAGCTGAGGTGGGCAGATCACCTGAAGTCAGGAGTTCAAGACTAGCCTGGCCAACATGGTGAAACTCTGCCACTAAACATACAAAAATTAGCCTGGCATCATGGCGTGCACCTGTAATCCCAGATACTCAGGAGGCTGAGGCAGGAGGATCACTTGAACCCAGGAGGTGGAGGTTGCAGTGAGCCAAGATTGCACTACTGTACTCCAGCCTGGGCGACAGAGTGAGACTCTGTCTCAAAAAGAAAAAAAAAAGAAAAAAAGAATTTTTTTGTAGAGGTAGGTTTTCACTATGTCACCCAGGCTAGTCTCAAACTCCTGGGCTAAGGCAGTCTTCTCATTTCGATCTCCCAAAGTGCCAGGATTACAGGTGTAAACCACCGCGCCCAGCTGAAAAAGGATTTTTTTTTTCTTTGAGACGGAGTTTTGCTCTTGTTGCCCAGGCTCAAGTGCAGTGGTGCGATCTCGGCTTACTGCAACCTCCACCTCCTGGGTTTAAGCGATTCTCCTGCCTCAGGCTCCCAAGTAGCTGAGATTACAGGTGTCCACCACCACGCCTGGCTAATTTTTTGTATTTTTAGTAGAGACAGGGTTTCACCATGTTGGCCATCCTGGTCTCAAACTCCTGACCTCAGGTGATCCACCCGCCTCAGCCTCTCAAATTACTGGGATTACAGGCATGAGCCTCAATGGCCAGCCAATTTTTTTTTTTTAATTAAAAGAATTAAAATAAAATGGAAGTCAAGGAGATAATTTAGACCTTGTGCAAAGAAGGTCCAGGAGGGATTTCATCACATTGCATCACATTGAGGGCACAACAGGGATTGTACAAGTCTGCACTCAGTACCTCATTTCTTTACTGCTAGTGCAGAGCCTGTCTAGGCACTTGGCTTCCCAGGGGGATGATGGACAAGACTGAAGGGAAGAAGGGAGGTCCATGGAGGCAGGGAGGCTCAAAGGCAGCACTGAAGCTTGCCAAATGAGGCAGCAAGAAGGTCCTAGGAGGACTTAGGCATCCAGATTTGATCATGTGTATGAGCCATTGAGGGCTGAAGAGTGAAATGACAGGAGGAAGTCTGGAAAGCTAAGCTGGTATCATATGCAGGAAGAAGGAAGCTGAAGGCTGTGGCCTGGGTTGGAACTAGTTTGCTGGAAGTGAGTGTACAAAAAAGTAGGTGACAGGTGGCCTTGTGGTGAAGGAAAAACCTTCCAGTTTGGTAGTAAAATGAACACAGGGGAAAGGGAAAGGAGTGTCAGCCAATTTGGAGCCCTCAAGTCTCATGAACAGCATGTTTGTGACATGGCAGTCTAGGCCGGAGTGCCTTTTTTTTTTTTTTTCTTGAGATACAGTCTTGCTCGTTGCCAAGGCTGGAGTACAATAGCACAATCTTGGCTCACTGCAACCTCTGCCTCCCAGGTTCAAGCGATTCTCCTGCCTCAGCCTCCCAAGTAGCTGAGATTACAGGTGCCCGCCACCATGCCTGGCTAATTTTTGTATTTTTAGAAGATGAGGTTTCACCATGTTGGCCAGGCTGGTCTCAAACTCCTGATCTCAAGTGATCCACCCACCTTGGCCTCCCAAAGTGCTGGGATTATAGGCGTGAGCCACTGCACCCAGCCAGCCAGAGTGTCTTTTATGGGGCTTAGATAGAGCAAGGAATCCAGTTTGGGAGTACCCTGCTGGGGTGACGGTGAAATTTGTGCTGGAGGAAGAGGTGCCAGTAACAACAGGTACAGGTTTAGCAACTCTTTGCTCTGACTCCTCTGTTCTCAGGCCCCAGGGCCTCTAGACCATAGTTTCAGGTCACCTTCAAGTGTCTCCTCTTCATTTAGACCTCCAGTCTAACCTCAGGCCCGATGTTGAGGCCTTCTAGCAAGAACTATGAAGCCCAGACTTTACCATGTGAAGTTGGTGGCTATAGTGCCTGGCTGAAGGCTTGATGCCCCTTTCGATGGCCTATCCCAACCCACTCCCTAATTTTGTCTGCCCAGAGGGTACCTCTGTAGAGTGCCAGGCCCAGGACCCACAGGGCCCAGATAGCATATTAGCCAGAACCTGTGGGCAGAGGAGAGGAAAAAGGCTGGAGATGTCAGCAGGAAGAGAACCCCAGTGCCCCACTCTTAAGTTTACATCTCTATCTGTGACCACTGCTACCTTCTTCTCCCAGAAAATCAGATACTGATTCCTCTTTCAATAAAATTTTATTTTAAATCCTTAGTGATTATCTAAGAGGAAAATATAAAGTGCTTGTCTTTTTTTTTTTTTTTTTTTTTGAGATGGAGTCTCGCTCTGTCGCCCAGGCTGGAGTGCAGTGGCCAGATCTCAGCTCACTGCAAACTCCGCCTCCCAGGTTCACGCCATTCTCCTGCCTCAGCCTCCTGAGTAGCTGGGACTACAGATGCCCGCCACCTCGCCCGGCTAGTTTTTTGTATTTTTTAGTAGAGACGGGGTTTCGCCATGTTAGCCAGGATGGTCTCGATCTCCTGACCTCGTGATCCACCCGTCTTGGCCTCCCAAAGTGCTGGGATTACAGCCGTGAGCCACCGCGCCCGGCAGTGCTTGTCTTTAGAGTTGGGAGGTCAGGGAAGAGGGAGAGGCCCCCTGGGTTCACACCATTTGGAATTTCCCAGTCCCTTACAGATGAAAGAGGGTGTATATGTCAAAATTAAAAAAAAAAAAAAGGAAAAAAAATTAGCCTTGAGTGCTCCACCAGCCAGTGTGTGCAAGGATTTTCAGGATACAATTATCACAGACAACTATTGAGACTTATCACAAAGAGGACAGGTCAATCGTGTGAAGAATGAGTCTATTTCAAAGGAGACAGGAAGAACAAAGAGGTGAGGTGGAAGATGGGTACCCCGCGCTCTACACCAGGGACAGAATGGCTGCCTGCTGCTCTGGAGTCTCCTCCAGCAAGTATCGGGCAAAGGCCTGCTCCATCTGTATTGGAAGAGATGGAGAAGAGTGTCTTAGTGAGTGCATCAGGGACAGACACCACCCCCAGGAGCTCCTTCCCCACTAGGAAACCCCCTTTGCCTCCTGAAGTACCACTGCCCCCGCTCTCATTAGATGGGTACTCTGCCCCTGCTCTGAGCTCACCTTCACTGTGATAAGATTCTGTGGAGTATGGCTGGGGCCACGGCTCTCTTCCCAGAAATTCAGTGTTACTTGGAACTTCGGTGGGGGGCCTAGGCCCTGGAAGTACTTGGCCAAGTCTGAAAGAGAAAGGGTCAAGGGTTGGAAGAATTTCAAAAAGAAGAGAGGGCCACAGGCAGGGAGGCAATAGTGAGAAACCCATGATGGAGAGAGGCAGGAGGGGGTCCTGCCACAGCAGGAGCTGCAAGGTCAGAAGTACTTGGAACTAAATGCTACTCACCCGTGTGCAAATAGGGAAAGGGTGCCCCTGCCTCAAATAAGTGCTTAGAAGTAGATCACTGCACAGCTGAAAAAGCTCTCTGCTGGGAGAGTTTAGAGTCTTCCCGGGCAGCAGCCCTGGCTGCTAACACAGATGTGCCCAGACCTTTGCTGCTTGCTCACACCCTTCCAGTGCTAGGGTACCCATGGTGCTGGGAACACCCACACTCTGCACCCGTGTACACCTGGTCCCACTCTTAAGGTCAGGTTTAGAATTGAGTAGGAGCTGGAATTGGATGGGAGAGAAGCGCAACCCTAAGGCATGCCTGGACTGTAGTAGAGACAGTGCAGCCAGGGCCAGAGTGTGTGATGTGTGCCAGCTCTCCCAAATCTGTGTATATAGGAGAAGGCCATGAAGCTCAAAATCTCTGTGCCAATTCTTCTGTGCACCTTCACATAGTGACTGCATGCTTCACTGTGATGGTGTTCTTGAAGATACGAGACTCTTGTGCTGGGCTCTACCTGAACCACCTCTTCCATTGTCTTGGCTGGAGGAGAGCTGCCAGGTAGCTGCCAGGCTGGGCATATGACCACACAGGATGTGCACCACACAAGTGCAGGAGTGCCATGCATAGGCTACATGGAGGATCTGCTGGCAGATAGGGAAGTGGCAGGACCCACCAAGTTGGGCCCAGGGGGTACTAAGAGGTAGGGGTGGGAGCTCAGGTGCCCAGAGAGAGCAGCCTCACCTCTGCAGAAGTAGGCGGTTCTGAAGAGCTCCACACACTCGTTGCTGGGCAGCAGATGTGGGCCTGGCCCAGGTGGAGCCTGGGGTGCATTCCAGGAGATGGGGATGGGGCAAAGGCGCTGCACGAAGAGGCCTCGGGGGTTGCTGGCCACCAGGATGCCCCTCTCAAGCTGGCTCAGCAGGCGCTGCGTGGGCTCCAGTGGGCCAGGCTTGGGGAACAGCACCTGCTCCATGCTGCTCTCAGAGCCTGAGGGCTCAGCCACAAGGCGGCAATCCAGGCTTTGCACCTGGGCCTCGCCCACCACACGCCCGTTGTAGATGAAGGTGAGCAGCAGTGAGTAGTCTGGGGAATAGAACAGCCCTACTTGGTGCTGGAGGAGCATGCAGGCTGGCAGCAGCCCCTCCCCAGGGGAATAGCTCCACCTTCCCTCCCTGCACCAGCCAGGGGACTTCTTCTCAGGTTTTCCTGTCACTCAGGCAAGTAGCTAGTATGTGATTGACCATGAGGCCTCAGGGTTTAATGACCAGGGGCTTGTAGTTTACTAGAAGGTCCCTTGAGATTGGGCCTCTGTTTGGCCCAATGAAATCAACGTCTCAATGTAGATTTCCAGGAGAGTGTATAGGGTGATATTTTTGGGAAGCAAGCTTTTTGGAGTCTGGCCAGGCATGTGGAATTCTCGCCACCTAGAAACCAGTGCCTTGGGCTATGGTAATGTGGGCACAGTTTGCTGTAAGCCCTGACTGACTAGATAATGCATGCACAGTCAAAGGTGGAAGACCTCGGGGCACAGGGCACAGGAGAAAGTCAGAAATGCCATGTACCTGGCTCTGGAGGAAGCAGAAACTCCAGGGACCTCTGATCCCCTTGAAAGGGGGCCTCAGTTGTGTCTGTACCTGGAAGGGAAGCAAAGGCACTGGTCATTCAGAGTGGGACTGGGGAGTCTTGGGCCAGAGGGTGTGGCATGGGGGACAACACAAGAGGCAGGGCAGGTGGTACCTTCCTGTGGCTCAGGGCTGCTGCTGCTGCTGCTCCCGATGTCTGAATGGAGTGCTCCCCCACTGGCCTCCTCCTCCTCCTGCAGACACAGTGTCTTTTTTTTTTTTTTTCTTTTTTTGAGACAGAGTTTTGTTCTTGTTGCCCAGGCTGGAGTGCAATGGGGCAATCTCGGCTCACTGCAACCTCCCCCTCCTGGGTTCAAGCGATTCTCCTGCCTCAGCCTCCTGAGTAGCTGGGATTACAGGCAGATGCCACAACACCCAGCTAATTTTTGTATTTTTAGTAGAGACGGGGTTTCACCATGTTGGTCAAGGCTGGTTTCGAACTCCTGACCTCAGGTGATCTGCCCGCCTCGGCCTCCCAAGACACAGTGTCTTTCATTGGCCCACCTCTCCCTCTAGTTACTGTCCTGCCCTCAGGCCCGCCCAGTTCCCTTTCCATCTCTTACATTATTGAGGGATTCCTGGAGTACAGAGGGACTGAGTGTGCAGTTCTGCCTGGCACCCTCTTCCTCCTTCCTCTCAGAGGACACAGAACTGTGCTGTCGCTTTGATGGTGATTTCTGAGTCCCTGGCTGGCCTGTGGAATTGTTGAGGGAGACAGAAAGGTCAGGGTCTTGAGCAGGGACAGAGGGTAAGGGAGAGGTCTGAGGCAGTGAAGAATGCGCAAGCCTAGGAAGGGAAACCTGGGTAGCAGCCCCCAAGGGCACGGACAAGGCAGAGCTATGAGAAGCCTGGGGGAAGCCCGCACATCTATCCTTCCTCCCCAGTCTGCTGAGTCTAGGAGTGGTTGGGCAAGGGGAAACCCACCAGAGAAGGTTCCTGGTGGCAGCAGCCGATACACCTTGTAGGGCTCAGCAACATCCATGCAGCCCCTCTTAGGAACCTCCTCAAATTCGGTACTCTTGTTGAGTGCACAGCGCAGGCGAGTCTTCCAGACAGCGGGGCCTCCTGTGTCCCCTTCCTTATACTTTCCCTTAAATATTGCCCAGGCCTAGGAAAGAAAGCAAGGGAAAAAGAGGCAGTGTGTTACAGGCTCCAGCTGCCCCTCCAACAGGACTGGCTTTATGGGCGTGCAGCTCTAAGCTCAGAAGGGATCATGCAGGGTCTGTGCTCTGTGTTGCCATCTTGAAATCCCCAGAATTTTTTTTTTTTTTTTTGAGACAGAGTCTCACTCTGTCGCCAGGCTGGAGTGCAGTGGTACGATCTCGGCTCACTACAGCCTCTGCCTCCCTGGTTCAAGCAATTCTCCTGCCTCAGCCTCCTGAGTAGCTGGGACTACAGGCATGCGCCGCCAGGCCCAGCTAATTTTTGTATTTTTAGTAGAGACGGGGTTTCACCATGTTGGCCAGGATGGTCTTGATCTCTTGACCTCGTGATCCACCCACCTCGGCCTCCCAAAGTGCTGGGATTACAGGCGTGAGCCACTGCGCCTGGCCAAAATCCCCAGAATTTTTGAACAAGGCCTCCACATTTTCATTTTGTACTGGACTCTGCAAATGATGCAGCTAGTTTTCCTCTCCAATGTCTCCCTTGTCTGAAACCCAGGTAGACTCAAGTGCTCGAGGGTGTGTACCAGTGTATACACCATCCCTCACGCAGAGGAACAGTGGTTTCCAAGCCCTTTCACCTTGAAGAAGGCAGCATCCTGGTCCTCTCGGAAGTCCTGCTTGCCTGCATGCTTCCAGGGAATCCGGAACATGGTCTTAGCTGTATCATCCCAGCACACTCCGGGGAACTGCCCGCTCTCCACTTGCTCCACCACCCAGTTCCGGAGTTTTCGGGTACAGCGTGCCCTGCCTGATGCCATCCTGGGGGATAAGAGGAGCAGGAAGCGTCAGAACTGACACTTTGGGAGGGAACATCTCCTGAGACCCTGGCCATTGAGACTAGATTCTGGCAACAGGTCCCAGAGATCCCATCCATTTTCTTTTAGCTCTAGACACATTTCAACACTCTATGAGACAGAATTGTTTCCTTTCTGCCATCACTAGCAATGACAAAAAACAAAAACAAAACAAAAACCCAAACATTGTTTTTAGCATTCTAAGCTGTGATACCTGGAAGGAAACCTTGGGCATTGGTCTTAATTTTAGGACTTTTCAGAAATGTATTGTTTAGGAAGTAATTCCTTTGGTGATCATTCCTGGTGAGAGGCCCTGTCTAGATTCCCGAGCATCAGCAGAGGCAGGCTCTGCTGAGATGCATCAGGCCCTTCACCCACTGCCCCACAGCCTACACAACCTAGCCTCTGACCCCCACCCCTCTGCCATCCCCAGGAGTAGGTGGGGCAGGAAGCAGGGGTGGGGGTGGAGCTGCAGCACAAGTAGGCAGGGCCAGACGGCAAGGAAACAAATGGTCCACTGAGGCTGGGGCAATGAGCCTTCTTTCCTGAACAATCCAGCAGGAGGTCCTTCTGACCTTTGCCTACAAGAGTCTGAGGTGCTGGCCTTTGTCAGTCTCATTCTCAGGCTGAATCTCCCACTTCCTGACTTAGAGGTCTTCTGTCTATCCCGCAGTCTAGCAGAGGGACCCCTAGAACCCCCTACCCCCAATCTGGCTGGACTTTCTAGCCCTAGATCCCAGGCTGACTCCCATTCTTGGCTGATCTTACCTGAGTTGCTGTCCAGGCTGTTGCAGGGCTCAGACGACCTCAGCTTAACTCCTGGCTGGGCGGCTGATCTCTCCACCCCTTTCTACAGTCCCCACCCTAAGTTTCGGTTCTCCTCCAGGGAGGGCCTTTTCCCAGAAATCACGTGGTCTCAGAGTTGCAAGGAACTGGTGGCCACCAGGGGGCAGCAGCATCTAAGCATCTCACTATCAGGATGCCACTGTCGCAGCAGGGGGCCCTGCTCTACCGGCTCAGCTCCATCCTGGCTCATTCCCCTTCCTCCCTCAGATACTCTTGCTTGTATCTGACCTTCTCTGGGTGACACTGAGGCTTCCCCAGGGAGGCCAGTTTCCTGGAGTCAGGCTTGGGACCTCTGGATTGCTGTGTACACCTGTGCATCTGTGTTCCCCTACAGTGCCCACCTGATACATACTGGGTGACTTCAAATACCAGTCGAATTCGATGAAAGGAAGAAAGGAGGCAGGGAGGGAGGGAGCCCAGGCCACGTGGCTGGATGGGGAGGGCCTCCCTTGACCATCCAGGGTGTCAACTCCTTCCTGGTCCTGAGTCCAGGGAGGGTCAGGCACTAGGTTGCAGGGGGCCCTTTTCAGCAAAGCTCTGTTCACCCCACTCTTTCCCTGGTGCCCCTAGATGGTGGCACCAGGAAGAAGGACCACCAAGAAGCCTGGGTGGTAAGATGCCTCTTTATTGGTGCTGGAGCTGTTCCTGAGGGAGTAGGCCATGGGACCCTCATCGGGACCCTTACTCTCAGCTACTTCCTCCTGCGGGGGATACTCTGTCCCAAGGGTACCTCTTCTGTCAGCTTCTGCAGGAGAGAGAAGGTAATGATATTAGGAGCCTGGAGCTCAGACACAGCCTGCACCAGGTGACTTCTGTAGGGTGGGGTCAGAGGTGAGGCTGGGTGGAGGCTATACCTGTAACAAGCGGGCCTGGTAGGCAGGGGGATCCTCTCCAGCCAAAGGCTGGGGGCGTACGTGTAGGTAGCGCTCAGTGGCCGTCTCCAGTTCTTCCACCTCATACAGGGTGGCTGGGTCCAGAGAGTGGGCATTGATGAGGCTCACAAGATACTCTTTGTAGTGTGCCCTGGGGAGAAAAGGGAGCAGAATATTTGTTCTGTTGACTAATATTAACTGAGTGTGTCAACATAGCTGGGCTCTGAGACACTTAGACGAACAAGATTAACAACCCCTGCCTGTGCCCACACTGCATGCTACTATCTATCCATGCCCTTGCCCAGAAAGCCTCCTCCCTTCTACCCACTGCGAGACCTACTGCTCCCAGGGACCCACTTTACTGCCTGGGCATGCCCTCACCACTTCTACCCACCGCCCAACACCATGCCCATGTCCTGCTGACACTCACTGGCACAGGCCAGCATAGCCAGCTGGAGTTTCCTTGCCACAAGCTTCATCCCTGAGCCCATTGGGAACCTCCTTCTGCTCCATTACTCGGCAGCCACCTGAAGGTGAGGGAAGAAGGGAGCCTCTGTTGGGAGGCCAATAACCACAAAGCTCCAGAACTGGGATACTCACAAGGTAGGGAAGGCAGCCTCCAAGGAAGGGACTGAGCACAGCAACTCCCGCTTTCCCAGTGGTGCTGGTGGGTACTCAGAGGTGCCATCAGCGGCAGACCATCTGATACAGAGGCAGGAACTTGTCCCTACTTTTATCCAAGCTGGCTTTTGGTTCATAAACACATACCCTCTTGAGATAGCTTTTTTTTTTTTGGTTGTTATTTATCTCTTGACTAGTTAACTTACTTATTCTGTGAAGGTCTTACCTCTTTTTTTTTTTTAAATAGAGACAGGGTCTCATTATGTTGTTCATGCTGGTCTCAAACTCCTGGGCTCAAGTAATCCTCTTGCCTTAGCCTCCCAAAGTGCTGGGATTACGGGTGTGAGCCACCACTCCTGGCTACCTCTGGTTTTTTTTTTTTTTTTTTTTTTGAGATGGAGTTTCACCCTTGTTGCCCAGGCTGGACTGGAGTGCAATGGCGCAATCTTGGCTCACTGCAATCTCGGCCTCCTTCCGGGTTCAAGCGATTCTCCTGCCTCAGCCACCCGGGTAGCTGGGATTACAGGTGCTTGCCACCACACCTGGCTAATTTTTTTTGTATTTTTAGTACAGACAGGGTTTCACCTTGTTGGCCAGGCTGGTCTCGAACTCCTGACCTCAGGTGATCCACCTGCCTTGGCCTCCCAAAGTGCTGGGATTATAGGCATGAGCCACTGCGCTTGGCCACCTGAGTCTCACTGTTGCCCAGGCTGGAGTGCAGTGGTGCGATCTTGGCTCATTGCAAGCTCCGCCTCCCAGGTTCATGCCATTCTCCTGCCTCAGCCTCCTGAGCAGCTGGGACTACAGGCACCTGCCACCACGCCCGGCTAATTTTTTCTATTTTTTAGTAGAGACGGGGTTTCACTGTGTTAGCCAGGATGGTCTCCATCTCCTGACTTCATGATCCGCCCGCCTTGGCTTCCCAAAGTGTTGGGATTACAGGCATGAGCCACCGCACCTGGCAGGCCACCTCTATTTTTTTTTTTTTTTTTTAATTTAAAGCCTACAGCACCTGGTATTCCCAGCCAATCTCTCATCCAAGTACTAACTAGGCCCGAACCTGCTTAGCCTCCAAGATCAGAAAAGATTAGTCACATTCAGGGTGGTATGGACTGTAGACTTGCCTCTGTCTACACTGTAGGAAGTGAAAGAGGTTAGAACCACACGTAACACCTTTCTGTTACCCTCATGGAATCTAAAACAGTGCCCTGCAACTAGCAGGTCTCATTAAACACTCATTGAGTTAATTAATGAATTATGATCATTTGAGAATGGGAGAAGAAAATTAGTATTAGTGCCTTCTTGGGTACCAGGTTATTTAAAGATGTCTTACGTAAAGTGGCTTAGCTGCAAGGTAGATACTACCCCTATTTTACAGCGGAAGAAACAAGGCCTGGAGTCTCAATTAACTTGCCAAAGGGCGTGCAACAAGTGGCCCCAGACCCAAGCCTCCCCTTTACCCATCATACAGTGGGAGCCCAGCACACCATCTCTTCTTCTCAAAGGCTTGTCCTAACACTCACCTCCAGGGACTGCCCGGGCCCCAGCTGGAGGCTCTGTATTAAACATGACATTATTGTCCTGAGGAGGAGAGACAGATGGGTGTTACATTCCCCTTGATGCCAGTCCCTGTTGCATTTCCTAGCATGAAGTCTTTTCCATTCTTGCCCACCCTGGGCCCAGTCTTCTTCTCTCCTGACCACCTCTGACCTGTAGCAGCTTCTGAAGCCGGAGAGCAGTCCAGTCCCGTAGGTAGAAGAGACAGTCTCGAGGGTGGTGGCCGTGCAGAGACTTTTTCACCCTGCAGTTAGGGTCTGGACATTTCTGGCAGAAACCCAGATGGGAGAGAGGAAGTTGGAGACTGTTGGGGTCCTGGCCTCTCAGGAACCCCTGCGTGAGGGGTGTATGGGTGAGGGGAGATGGAGACATTGGAGGAGCAAGCAAAGGGTAAGGGGATAGAGAGTTGTGCTTTACATCCCATTGACCTCTTCTCTTCCCCGGGGCCACTCCTCAATGGCCTCTGCCTCTCAAACCCAACGGAGGCCCCCACCCTTCCATCCCTTCGCCAACTCTCTGGGCTCACATTCTTGGCATAAAAGGCATTGTAGCAGCCGCTGCAGAACTGGTGGCGGCACTGGGTACAGTGAAAGTGCATGCAGCCTCCTCGGGCCAGGGCATATGAGAACTTGCATTTGGGGCAGTCTGCAAAGGACAAGAGATCAGGGCTGGAGCTGCCGCTGCAGCTCAAGGCCCTCAAGAAGAGAGCTGCTGGCAATGACAGGCTTCTGAGCAAACAGGCCAAGTGGGGCAGCTTTACCAATGCCGTTTTCCTGAAGATACATTGCTAGGCCCTGGGCCTGGTATTCTGGGTCATTCATGCGTTTCCAGTTCTGGAAGTCCTCACAGCTCCGACCTCGGTGCTGCTCCTCCCACTGCCGGAGGGAAAGTAGGCTTCACGTGGGAGCTCTATCCCATCCCCTGGCCCTTCTTCCTAGCCCCTCCACTCACATCCAGTGGTCCCCAGCTTGGTTTATGTCACTGCCACCTACCATTTGCTCAGATCTAAAAATGAGAGGCCATGCTTGGTTCTTTCATTTTCTCCTACCGCCTCACACTCCTTTTGCCTTGTTTCCACCCCACAGACCATCTCAACATTATCCCCTTTTCCTTCATCCCTACTGCTACCACTTTACTCCAGGTCACTATCAGCCCTTGCCTCAATTGCTTGCCTTGGTTACTAGTCTGTTTCCCATTCCTGCACCCCTAGGATCAATTCTCCCCATAGCTGTCAAAAGGACTTCAAAATTGTAAGTCAGGTAGCTTCCACAGTATTGGTGGTGTTTTTGGTCCCGTGGTAGTCTCAGATGTTCACTTTGTTTCAGACATGATGCAGATGAAATTTTTTTTTTTTTTTTTTTGAGATGGAGTCTCGCTCTGTCACCCAGGCTGGAGTGCAATGGCGTGATCTCGGCTCACTGCAGCCTCCACCTCCTGGGTTCAAGTGATTCTCCTGCTCCAGCCTCCAGAGTAGCTGGGATTACAGGCACATGCCACCATACCCGGCTAATTTTTGTATTTTTAGTAGAGACGGGGTTTCACCATATTGGGCAGGCTGGTCTTGAACTCCCCACCTCAAGTGATCTACCCACCATGGCCTCCCAAAGTGATGGGATTACAGGCAGAAGCCACTGTGCCTAGCCAAATATTATACTTCTTAAAAGATAAATGTGGTTGGGCATAGTGGCTCATGCCTGTAATCCCAGTACTTTGGAAGGCTAAGGTGAGGGATCACTTGAGACCAGGAGTTGGAGGCTATAGTGAGCTGTGACTGCACCAGAGGACCCCAGCCTGGGTGAGAGTGAGTCCTTGTCTCTAAAAATAAATAAATAAATAAACGAAAGATAAATGAGATAGTATCACCCTTGCTTTTTCTCAGAATGAAGGCGGACGGATACCTGCCTCACTTGGCCTCCAGGGCTCTCCAGACCTGGCAGCTGGCTTCTCTCTGACCACCTGCCACTCCCACCTTGCTTTCCAGGCTCCAGCCACACCCAACACTTTTTTCTGACTCTGCGTGGCTGGCTTCTTTTTAATGTTTAGGCCTGAGCTTAAACCATTTTAGAGAAGACTTGTCTGACCTCTCTACCCTAAGTAGGTCCACTCTGTTACCCTGATCTCAGATTCCTGTTTGTTTTCTTCATAGAACTTAAGCCTATGTATAATTAGTTCCTCTGGCTTACTTCCCTTCCTTCCTCCTCCCCTTTCCTTTCTCTCCCGATTTCCTCCCTCCCTCTGCTTTCTTCCCTTTCTCCTTGTGCCTAGTCTTTCTGACTAGTCTGTAAGCTCTTTTGACCTCAGAGCTCATATATATTTTGCTCTCCAGTATACAAACTCCCCTGAGTCTAACACAGTACCTGGCAGTAGCTCAGCAAGTATTTCTGAAAGGATGAATGTGCCTCACCTGGCGCTTGCAGCGCACACAGAAGGTCTGGTGACACTGGGGACAAGTCGCCTCCAGCTGCTCACGCTCA